TTGAGAATGGAAACGGGGAATGTGTCAAAGAGACGACAACCAGACCAAAGAGCAGAAAACAGCCCAAGGCCATCATTGGGTCTTCAACACAGTGAGAAAATCCTGCACCTTGACTATCTTAACTCTTGTTTATATGTAAAACAAGTCTTGTCTGCTTTACATGTGTGTCACAAAGAAAATCTTTGATAAATACAATTTAAGTTGTCAAAGAAGTTATGATTGACTTTGACGACTAGGGAATGCATGTATTACGGAATAGAACATAACACAAACATGACAAAATAGAAAAACTGATCCACTTATAATAAGTAGACAACTGAACTACTACATGGGTTAGAAAGGAGAATATAAAAGACTATGTAATATGCTAGAGCTGCAATGCTTTTAAGGTATACAGAAGAAAAAAAGTTGAACTGCTTGAGATCTGACAGGAAAATTTTACTTTTTAGGTCAGTTACTTAAAACTGCAAATATGAAATGCTTTAGGGAATTTAAGGAGAAGTACCATCTTCTTGGAGTCGCAGGAGAAATATTTACTGCTTTTGGTTACAGATAGGAGAAATAAAACCTGAGAAACTTAGAAAGGAGACATACAGACTAGTTAGGTCATGAAGTCAAAATTTGAAGGGTTTTAATTCACCCAGATTGGAACAATTTTTAGGTCATATGGGAATTTTTTATTTTATTTTTAAGGTCGGGTACGTATGGAGAAAAATTGAATGCCTTCTGAAAACGAATACTAGAAAAATAATACTGCTTCAAGTCACAAAAGTAATATCTGTACTAACTGGGTTAGATTCCACAAATTATACAGCTGAGAATGTTAACCTACTTAGTTCAGTTATTTCAAGTGCTTATGTTACATTAAAGGGAATGGAAACTATGTTAACTGAAGTCCCACAATAATGTAATTTGGACTTGACAGAGAAATTCAAATAATTTGACACATGTACTCTTTATTTGTAAGAAGATATAAAAGAATTATCAAAACAAGAAACTTAATCAAGAAATTGTGAAGATTACTAATTTGAATTCTAAGAGAGAGTTAGGAACAAAACAGTTTTTAGCGTCTTTCCGTTTGTAATGAAAAGATTAAAATTGATATTTTCTGTTACCACTGACTTCAAAGTTACTCAGTCAAAACTTTTTTTCATTCCAATCGTAATGAACAATTTACAATCTATCTTTTCTCATCTTGAAAGATAAGTTTTGTACAATCCTGAAATCTACAGTGGTACCTGTAATTAACTTTTTACGACTTTCGTTAATTACTGGCATGCAACAAATGTTAAAATGATGATGGGTAAAATACCTGGCAATAATTATCAAAAGTTTGATGTAGTTGTTAATGACTGATGGAAATATCTTCGATTGCAGTTCACTTATATCTACAATATATGTCAAATTTGGAAGGAAAAAAAATAGTGATTGCCAGGTGTAAACGATACATTTAAACATTTAATTAACGATAATGGTTAGGGAGGAAAATAAGAACAGGTGTGAAGGCAAGAAAAGCAAGAGAGAATACAGATAGCACATGTAGTACAGACGTGCCTAAGACGTTGGCAGATCTGTTGATTTAGATTCCGTCTTTTAAGTCTTGCGCTAAATTTACATACAAAGCCAAATTTAAAATAAGATCCCAGTTACTTTAAGTTTGAAGACTAGTGCTTTTCATATGGATGGTTTTTCTGGCTTTAACAACAGTCTAGGAAAATTTTCTTGGTCAAGTTGCAAAAGACATTTTTACAGAAATGCTCAGAATTTTGTTTTTTCTATAAAATCATAAACAGTTTGCTTTTCAATAAAATTGTGCCGTCATGGGTTTGTCAATGTCGTGAAAACAAAAAAAACAATATATTTGGACATGATATATCCTTGCTTTTTTCAGTGGGGATAATATTTCATTTTTTCATGGTTTTTAGAGGAGAAACTATTCACAGAATTATTTTAAGAGGTTTACAAAATTTTTATGTCGAGTGTTTATTGGAAGATATACAGTATGCAGAATTTATACAAGGCTTACAAAAATTTATGTTGTAGTGTTTATTAGAAAATTTATGGTATAACAAAAAATTTTGATCAAGTTTACAAAAATTGAATTATGAGTTTAATTACATTAATTATTCACTGCGGATGTAATTTCAGTATGTATGGAAATATGAAGATAGTATTTTGAAAATAAATTAAAAAATTATGATTTAGTACTTAATTTATTCATCTTGTTGTGTCAGGTGCATGTATAAAGTGTTGGTTGGAATGTAAATTATAGAAATTATGACATGGACAATTAATTAGAAAAAGTATTGAAAAAAATACAGAAAGACTAGTCTTTTGTACCAGTTACCCAAGACATAATGATGAATACAAATAAGGCTCCAACATATTTTAATAATAGAGGAAAATTATCCTTTAATGTGGGTCTTGTTAATCAGATATAAATCATTAGATCTGCACTTTATGGTACACATTGATGAAGATGGTTCTTTTATGTGGGTTTTATAGTCTGTTGCCTACAAAACGAAATGATAATGAAGAAAAATTACTTTTTGTCCCTTTGGAGCTTTATGGTCGAGGTGCACTTTTTATGATGACAGGAGCTCTTAAAACTCTTTTTGGTTGACCAAGGAATACCCAGACAATAGACATGATATCAGAATTTCAAGAGTCTTTGAGTAACTTTTGGAAAGCTGCAATAACCAAACTTTCAAGACAATAAGGATCTTCCTGTTCAAGTTGAAAAAAATCCATAATGACATGATCTGCTCTGAGGTGTAAGCTGTAAAACAATGTGAACTGAAATTAAAGGGACACTTGTTGCTTAATTTCCAGTAGCAAATATCACATGCATATTCAGTATATGAGAGATAATGAATACCAAGTTTTACTGGGTGAACTGGATTCATAAACATATTTATCAGTAAAGCAATATTTCTTCTTCAAATCTTTGGAAAGGCAAAGATCCATCATAATAAGCTATGCAACAGCTGGACTGGATATGAAAGCTTTTGAAGTATGATTTTGATCTATAGAGCCATCATTAGGTCGTTTGTCATCTTCATTATCAACAGTTGCATAAAAGAATTCAGAGGCAGAACCCTACACTGGTTCTTATGTTTAACATTACCCTCATAAAACAAAGTTCTATGAGTTTGTGAAATGTTTTATCTTATTAGAAGTCTTTATCAGTCCATTCATTACCACTGACATTTAATTGATGAATTGTGATATAACTATTAAAGTGTTTATTATAATTTACAGTATCTTAAATGTGTAATTTAAAGCTTTAAAATAGCGATAACAAAGCTGAATATTGAAAAATTTGCATTTCAATATGATGCATATCTCTGGGCAAATGTTGTTATCAAACACACCCAATGTACACTAATGTTTTAAAATATTGATAAAATAGTTGAAAAATGATAGAATTTTATGATGGGGTTTTGGTAGAATTAATTTAAACAAATCTCCAGGGAGTAATATTATCAGGAAACTGTTTAGAAACATGACAAACTATGAGTATAAATTGAAAATGTTATTGGCAATACTGAATATTGGATTTATTTAATTGGAAAAAAAGGGGGGGGTTTATCTGGTTGATTTTTTTTTTTTCAAAAGAAAAATTTTGAAACTGGTGCTGTCAGCACATAGGGGATGATACGCCTCCCCCAAATTTTTGTTTTGTAGATCTTTGGCATAATGCAATAGGCTTGGCCTAATTGGTGGTTAATTCAATCACATATGAAAGAAGCAAGGCCAGGGTCTTTGATATCCTTTGAATTAGTGGGTTGGCTTTATTTTAACTCAGTATATTATGATTTTGGATGAATATGTATTTGGGATGGGACCCCACTCAGGATTCACCAGTTGTTGTTATGATATGAAGAAGATTAACCACAGGACTTTGTTTAGTGGTAATTACATATCTTAATGAGAGTACTTAATGTACTTTGTAAACAAGTTGTAAGATGTATTTGGTAAGCAGTTCAGTACAGCTAGTTAAAGCTAATGTCAAGCTATGACAGTTTTATGGCTTTGTTTAGTCAGAATGATTATAATGTAATTAGACTTTCAAAAAGTGTAACCCCAAACAAGTCCCAAGTGAAAAATGGCCACACAGAGTTGTGAATTTTAGTAACTGCAGCACTAAGAGCTGTTACGAACTGAAGATATGGAAAAAAATCTTGCATGCATTTTTCATTCATATAAGATTTGTTGCATGAATTATAAAAGTAAATATAAAAACTACACCTCAGATGGATTGCACTTTTTTACAAACACCCACATTGGGCAAACTGGATTTCCCAATCAAAATTTCAGCATCAATTTTAAAGGCATTGTCGTAGGACAGTTTCGTGATGGGATACAGTGAATATATCCAGATTATCGATGGATCCAAATGAATTAGGTTTTGTCATTTAAGTTGCAATTATATATATAGCAATAGATTTATAGGGGCAAACAATAGAAATTCCTGCAACAGTTACCTCAAATTATTAAGCTTATGTCCAATGAAAATGTTTCTCACAATTACTTGATCATTTTATTCTTTAACATAAATGACAAAATGTTACATGAAAGGATAATTTTGTCTTTTCCTCTTTCTGAATTTATGGCAAGAGGTCAATAAAACTATTTAAACAGTGACATCTGACAGGATTTTCTGCTTTGCCCCTATAGATGAGAATCTGTATAATATAACAGCTATTTTTATACCTACCTGACACAAATTTGGCTACTATGAGGAGGTTTAAATTTAGAAAATGTATACATAGCTTGCATAGGTGACATAGTTACAGTAATCAATAAGTTGATTTGTATCAATTGATTAGTGCATTGTGGTGTCAAGATGGGGAAAAAAAGATGACACTTCTGTCAGTACATTTAACAGCAAAATTTCATTACCTATTTGCTGCTTATGAATATAAGTTGTCTCATTAATTTGATGGTTTTCTGTCCCATCATCTTTTACATTGAAAGGATAATAAAAATTGTCTTACCTGAAGGCCGTCCTATCTCATTAGATCTTCCGATTGTAATCCTTGAAAGCATTTTGTCAGTTTATTACATTACTGATATATATATAGATCCAAGTCGAATCAAATTCCATTGTTAGAATTGAATATATATTCAGAATAGGAACACTATCACAGCTTAGAGGAAATTCCACTCTTTAGAAAATTTAGACACAATTTCTTTCTCCAATGAATACTGTCACTGATTCCCTGCTGGTTTTGTTAATCCTGTGTTAAAAGTAAAATGAAATTTAGCCACAATTATGCTGCACAATAACTTGCCTTCAGGCTAGCTACATAATGAATCTACGTTTTAACCTGATATGCTTTATGTTCAAAGGTACTCATTATTAATTTTAAGCACAAAAACCAATTTCTCTTGGAAAAATTACATGTAATTCATCAAAGCTAGAGAAAATAGATTTTCCTTGTTTGTTTATCTGGTTTAGCGATAAAAAACTTGAAAGGCAACTCCATGTGATAAACATACAGAAAAGCTGGTTGCATGTTAAAACTACATAATGACTTGTTTAGTTTCCTTGCGCCAGGTATGTGACTGACTTAAGGTGTTCAGTAATGATAGGGTAAGCTTTTTCACAAGTTGCTCACTACTTAGAAGTTGGTTCATTAATCACTCTGAGGATGATCCTTGTTCCAAATTGAAGAGCCTTTCAACCCACTAAAATTAATTTTACAAGCTCAAGTGGCCAATTGCCTGTTGTGGAATACGACTTGCATTTAAATTTCTTTTTATGCTTGGCTGTCTTAAATGTGTAGCAGAATCATTTCACGAAATTAGAAATGTACACTTCAACGTCTCTTTTGAAAAACTTTGACATTTTTATGGATTTGTATTGGATAATTTATCATAATACACACCTCTTTTAAACATGTGTTTGTGCAAGACATTTAAGACTCTTGTAGAACATTTCAAGTGATTGCTTTTTCAAACGAAATGATTTAAGCCTTTCAAGTGAGTAAAAAAAAAAAATGAAATTGAATTTCCGATTTTGCTAAAAGCATTCAATGTCATAGTTTAATATGATCTCTTAAAATCTATTTTCAAGAGAGATTGAAGTTTTCTCAAATATTGAACATTTAATGGTCATAATAAAGAATGGAGAGTTAAAGCTGATATTTGTTGAAAACTAATAAAAACCTACCTTTGTCTAACTAATATGATCCATGGAAAATGAGAACCTGTCAACTAATTTAATATGTCATGCAAAGCAAGAGTGGAATTTCAATCTAATACAGGAGGAAATAAATCAACTCTTCTTTTGTACCTAGCATGGATTCACTTGTATACTTGTACAGAAAGCTTCTTTGTGTAATTCAATTGGGGAAGTTTTTGGTTTATAAGAATAATATGAATTAATTTCGTTTTTGGATTCCCAATAGACTTATAAATAGATTGGTAATTGTTTGCAGTATTTTGGGGAAAAGTACCTAAAGCAGCACAGAGTTTATACTAACTGCACTTTTCAGATGCATAATGCCCAATGATTTTGACTCTCTTATTACAGATTAACATGCAAAACTTGCTTGTATTGTAAGGGACCAACACTTATTTAAATCTAGGTTTTAAGGTTAACTTTATAATATGAGATCTATTATACTTAGGATAACTTTCACCAAAGTCCATCTTTCATTACCAGACAATTTCAATAAGGACCCTTTTTGTAAGAAGATCACTGGTGTAATTGCTAACTCTATTGCTATTCAAAAAAAAAAAAGGACTCAAAGGCAGAGTTATCTTTTAAAAAAAAAGGTTGCTGATCACATAATGTCTCTGACTCAGTTTTTTATTGTATTAAGTTCGCTTCTAGTTTACTGACAGAATCGAAAAGCAAAATTATATTTGATCAGAAAATTTGAATTAATGATTTTAATATGCCTATAGAAGATTCTGTCTGTCTGATGGATCACAAAAATTCTTCATTAAGTTGAAAATGTCAAAGGGTTAACATATATAGGGACTGGAAGTTCTAGGAAATCTAATCTTACGATATTAATATCATCAAAGTGCATGGATTTTCAGGGGAAAAAATAAGTATCTACAAAATTAAAATTTCAAATTATCAAGATTTGAAATATTGGTGATAGATGATAGACGCTTATGCTTAATCTTAAGAAAAGATAGCAAAAGAGCTCAAGTTTTGTTAGCAGAATGGAACGTTTTTCATTTAACTCCAACAGCGCACATGTAATCTTCATCAAAAATCAAAAGAACTAAATGTTCTATTCTGCTTGTCAGTTTTGAATAGAATTTGGATCTTTTTTGCTACTTTTTTCTAAGCATTTGCAGGTGATAAAACTCACTGACATGCCTGTATTATGTAGTGTAATTTGTGTTGAATGCTAAACATGTTCTGTATACCTTTAGATGTTGTTAGGATTGTCGTTTCATCGTATTAATCATAAACTACCTTGATTGAAGAGAAAACACTTCACTTCAGCTGTCTATAAATTAAAAAGTGTTTTTTCATATGTGTCTTCAATTTGCTTAGAAATTTTGGAATGAATTGCTATGTAGAAAATGTAGAAATATCTTTAGGTAGGTTGGGGTATGAGGAGGGTGTTCATGAGACAATGTTTAATTATATAATTGGCTGGTCTTGGACCTGCAGATATCTAAAAGGTCTGTAACAGAACCTTGCGCCAAATCGATGACCGCTTGTAACAATATAGCTTCATCCCCACAAGTTTAGAGTGATGATGAGGCATAAGAAAACCAAGAGGTTAACAGGTCAATTAGTTGAAAGGTTTAGGGGTATGAAACTGCCAAAATGGTGATTCACTTTAAGGCAAAACAACCATCATAATTTGAAAAATTTAAAAGTCATATTTGACTGAATAAGGCAAAAGTTTTAGGCTCTTTAGATAATTAAACCACTGTCTTTTTCTTTTTCAGCCATTTATGTCCCCACGATATCCAGGTGGCCCACGAGGTCCTGGGCCAGTGCGGATGCCACCAAATGATTTTAATGTAAGTGTTTTATATATCTGTATCTGCAAGGTAAAAAGTTAAGAAATTTTAAGCCTCTGAAAACCTTTGAACTTCCTGCGAGGAAAATGAGATGTTGAAAATGATTATGAAACAGGTTTGGGTTTTTCGCAAAATTGCTCTATTAGTGGACTGAACCTTCTCAGAACCATAAAATTGTAAATACTTATTCCGTGTACACAGAGTAAAGCAAAAAATAAAGTCTTTCTAAGCAGATATGAAAGAATTCAAGACCTCTTCAAGATGAGTAGTAAAAAAATGTTTTATGAGAGGTTATAAACAGTAGTAGTTTTGTCGAGAGAGCATAGTTAATCAAAAGTAACTTGTCTGGTTTCCTGACAAGAGATTTCTTACTCAGTCATACATCCTATAATTACTCCAAATAGAGATATCTATCAGTCTAACCAAGAGTAGTTTATTCTCTTATGGGCATTTGATTGTAATCAAATTCTAGTGAAATAAACAGCTGTGAAATAACATGCTATTGATTCAGGTCCACTGCCTGGATTGTCTGAAGTTAATAATTACATAATTACATACAATAAAAAACAGATTGTTCAAAGTGACTTTTGATAGAAAAAAGAATCTATTAGTTAATTCAGTGTTTGTTTGATGAATGTTATATAGCATGTATATATTGAACCTTCATTGGTCTGTAAAATCATTGTTTACATATTTGCTATAACATATAGAACATGAAGAAGATTTTTCCAACATCAGAAGAAGGCTACGCTTTGATCATAAAAAACTTTTAAAGTATAAATTTACATGGAGAATTGCAGTAAAGTTTAAAGGTTCATTTATGGTTATGGTTAAGTTAGGGGATGTTCTAGGTTAGGTTAGGTAAAAGATTTAGAGTAAGGTTTAGGGTTAAGGGTAGTTTAGTGTAGCTCTATATCGGTTGGGATCCTTAAAGTAAAGAAGTTTTGAATTTAATGAAATATTATATTTTTTGTAGCCACCAGGAGGAGGTGGAGGTCAAATTCCAATGAACAGTATGGATTCTCGGCCAGGTAAGTTCATAGCACCTCAATAATTATGTTAGGGGAGTTCTATCCAGAGCTGCAGTAGAAAGCATTGAGCATTTAAGTTCATAACCTGCACAGCTAATTGTTAGTCTGCCATCGTTAATATTAATGATCATAATGATGAAATAATCGTGTAAGTTCATAGTACAAGAACCAGCGCTAGATGAGGTTCTTGTCCAGTCTAAGTGAACAGATTCACAGCTAAGGTAGTTCATAGCTTATATCAACTACCGTATGGAACATTTTACTTCTAAGGAGGTAAGTTCTCAATACCTGAGGCCAAACAAACAAATGAACCATTTGGAGCCATCAACACCAGATGAATAGGGACCAAAATCAAAATCCTTTCAATTTATACCACAGTCAGGAAATTTTACATATATAGAGTAATACATGTACCATTCTAGTCAAGTATTTGTGAAAACTGTTTTATAGCAAATGAGAAGTTCTTGCAATATTTTCTCTAAAAGATAAAAAGGTTGGAAGTGACTATATAAATAGGCTGTCCTGATTTTCAGGAAATATTTTAATACATGTAACATAAAACAGTTTTACAGTAGCAACATTTTATAAAGGTTAAGAGATTCAACCCAACATCTTGATTTTTATTTTTCAGCATTTATATTGTCACTGAATTAACTCTGAATAGGTCATCAGTGCTCTTTCTCTTTCTCTCATATTTATGCAAAGTTTCTTACAAAAGAAATATTTTAGAAAAATTAGAAGAAAAACAAATTAGTTGAACTTGCCTGTGTCATGTTGTATTCCATGATGTTGTATGATCTCACCATATCATTGATGACAAGACGTGATCATCACTTGACACTCGTAAATTCCCAACCTAATTGAACCAATTCTACCCATTGTCAGTCTTAACTTTCACTTTCTTGCTTCTCTCCATGGAGTATCCTTTCTTCCTGTAGACATAAAATACAAGAAGCAAATCAATTAGTCCTGTTCTTTATATCTGTCTTATACTTGCCTCAATAGGCCTTCACAAACACCAGATAAATCCTATATGAGAGTTTTTGATGCCAAACGAGAGCGGCATTGGATTGTGAGTGAAGATTTCAATTATATAGAATGCCATTAATACTCCATTCTTATCATCGGTAAAGTGATTGAAAATCCTTAGAACTAAAACCCATTTGTTTGTCTCTGATAACTGCAGCTGAAATGTGTTGAAAACATTTAAATAAACGAATCTTGTTTCCTGATCGGTAAAGCCCTGTAGCTGTTCATGTCACTTCCAACTACCATTCAAATGAAAGAAACTAAGAAAGGAGAATCGGGAGTGCTTCATTGGAAATTTTTTATAGTATATATAAAATCTGATAAACATTTTAAAGTTTCAAGTTGGTGATGTTTTTTACATAGTGGGATTTCTTAATACCCTTAATGAGAATCTGTTATCCTGATGTAAGCTTTGAAAACAGCTTTTCTAAAGATTATATTGAAAACAGCATTTATTATCCATGAAAAGTAGACTGATTGTTTATACAGAGATGAATTGGATGTAAGAAGTTTGTTAGTGTAGTAATATACAGAATTGTTTGTCTGGTGGTTTATAGACAATGGACATCTGTTTAGAAGCTAATAGAACTGTTTCATGTCTTCTGTGAAGAAGATTAATATCAGCCAATACTTTCCATTCAATATTATTCTATGAGTATTTATTTTCTTTGATTTGGTGGTTTAAGGCTAATCATCAACAAATAACAAGTTTTCTATAGGCTTCTTTGCTTAATTTGTTAGAACAATGAAATAAAGTATCCACAAACATTTTCCTATATTCAAAAAATCTGTACACATGAAAATAAATAAATTAAAATGTTGTATAGGAATATTTTGAGAGAAAAAAAAACATTTTTTGTGTTGTTGGGTTGCTATCTTGTTGATGTATAGCAGTATTCCTATTATTCATATTTCCGAGGAGATTGTATTTTTGGTCTCATTCTTGTTTATAATGGAACCTGTCAATTAACGAACTCTCTGGGATTATCCTAAGTTAGTGCTAGCTGATAACAGAATTGATTGATACAATTGCCAAAACCATGTGGGAGAACATCTTCATGTCATTGGTTTCCACAGAGTTGCTTTACAACAATGTTCTTCTCAAAACTCAATTTACACAGCTCTTTATTAATAAACAGACAAAATCAAGTCTCCCAGCAGACATAATTGCATGTCCTGTTTTGGTAATTGTTAGTTTTTTGTAATGATCGAGTTACAAAATATTTGCTGAGCCTTTAAATTGGAAAAATATCTCTTCTTTTATAAAAGTCGGTGTCAGCTCAGTTTGAATTGCCCAAGCACATTTGTTAAATTATAAACCATAGTCTTACCAATATTTCTTTTCCTGATTGAATTTAAGAGTTGTAAGCAGTCTACTTTATATAGTGGAGTTTGAAATAAGATAGTTTATATTATAGAAACCCCACAATCCATTAGATGAAATAAATAGCCTTATACACAAGCCTATCTAAATGTAAATAGTTCTAACAGTTTTCCTATAATAACCCATTACTTTACCCAATGTTTGATGAAGATAAATTGACTTTAACAAAACTTATCTTTTTTTCTTTCTCCTATAAAACTGCACATCAAAGATGACTGTTTTGTACAGACGTTTATGATTCTGGTTACTTTATTTCTCAATTAATAAGCTTAAGTAGTAGTGATAAAATGGTTGATTATGTCCATCAAACTTACTTGTCTGTGATGATCAGGTTCTTAGACGAGATTTTCAGTCTGTTATTATCCATTTCTGTTTCACTGCTAGGGTGCATACAGAATGTCATAAATGCTTGTATTCCGGTGGCTTCTGTATCCACATCCTGATAGAATTTCGAATTTCCTGTTCCATTGAGGTCCTGCTTCTTTGCTATGCATATACACATATACAGCATGACTGATAGCATTATGAAATAATCACTGTGTCCTGAACAAATCGGGAAGATTATAATAACCATAATGACGTTTATTATGTCAATTTGTCACTGACTTTTGTGACATCAATATAGAAAAAATGTCGCCAAATGTACTTTGTGGTTTCCGATATCTCCCATCTATATGCATTGTACTTAGTTCACAATGTAAACATTCCAATTTATAATAAAATCTGCACCAAATATTAGTCTGTTCGGTCTGAATAAATCCTTCAGCTAGATTTATTATAGTGTTATTAGAAATTCTTATTCATCGAAAAATCCTCATAGCTACATAATCTACAATGGCCATGTCTGGTAAAGAACGGCTCTTAAGCACACCTCTTCACTCAAACAGTTCTGTCAATATAAAGAAACCAGAGACTGGGAAAATACATGTTTGTATAAATATTTGATACTTCTCTTAGAATAAATGAAGTCCTTGTGATTACAAATGTCAAAACATAATAAATTGATTTTGAACTTGTTTCAAAGCCTTTATATACACTATCATAAATTTCGTGGTAAATTATCCGTAATTAAGTGAGTTCATGCATGTAACATGAAAAACTTTGATTACTTTAGGGGAAGAGAGAAAATGTAATATGATTTTATATAAAGTTTACCATTCAATATCATTATACCTTGTATGTTTGAAGTGATAGCCTAGTCCCTTGAAATATAGGATAGCCCACCTGATATCCTATCATTGTATTCTGATCTGCCTTGATTAAAGGCATGGGTAATTACTGATAAATGGAGAAATAATGAGTTTGCATGTTGACTTTATGTAATCATGGAGGATGACTGGGAAGTTTATTGTACATGCTAGAAGCAGTTCCTGTATAGTCATTGATTTAATGTATAATTGAGCTAAACAGTTACTTGTCGTTAACAAAATTTGATATAATTTAGATGGTGTTAAATTGTAAAGTTGTGTACAGATGAAGTGCTTTGTACATTGGCCATTTCGTCAAGTTTTATTTTTCCCTGACATCCTAATCGTAATGACTGTAAAATCAAAATGGTAATGTTTGCCTAATCAGTTCAGCATCTTGAAGTTCTTATTCATTGCGAAGAAATTAATGCTTTTTCAAAAATCTATCTGAAAAGAAATATGAGTCTTGTATTTTGAAAGTTCCATTATTTTTCAGAATTCCCAAGTGTTTACAACAACCTCCATATCTATAATGATGAAGCTAATTAATGAAACACATGTAACAAGCCTGCATGTCAAATGTGCAATAACATTACCAAACCAAATTAGAAAAAAAAAAATGAAATTGTATGTTTTTATGATTAATGGAGAAGCAGCTGTTTGGTAAATTATTTTTGAAATGAGGTAATTAAGATGGTGTCCTATCTATACAGAATTGTACAATCCTTCAGTGACATAACTATAGCTTCTTCAGGTATAATTAGTCTGTATACAAAACCATAGTCAATTTCAGTCAGTTTATCATCATTGCATTTCAACTAGCTTTGATAAGGTCATATGACATTCTCGATGGGATAAGGGAAAGATTTTATGAAGATTGTAATTATAGGAAAGATTTGCATTATTAAACTATTAAGATTGAATGAAAGAAAGTTGTTAAATTAAAACTGCATGAAGTTACTTAAAAGCCTTGAACATCCCAGAGGAGTGAAATAAAAATTGATGGTTTTCGTAATGAAACTGAAATAAATTTTATTAAGGCTAAAAGCTTTGGTTATGGGGTCTTTCGGTGTAATTTGTTTGTCGAAAAACTGATATAACTAAAATATTCATAGAAACATAAGTGGCTGCCTATTTAATTTGAGATAACAATAATTGGTCTTAACTGTGCTTTCTAAACATATTCTTAAAAGAATCTTCTGTGAAAAAAGATGAAATAAAAATTGTCCTACCTGTGTGTATGAACAATCCTATAAAATTGATGGTGCATCCCAATGTTTATGTTTCTCATTTCTTTTGATACTACTGCATCATATCAAAGCTATTTAATGTCCTATCAAACCATCAAAATTCCAATAAAATTACATGGTATCTATAATTAACATGCATTACTATAACATCATTGATAGCACCTTTAACAGACCAATGTCTCAGCTCCTCTATGGTTGAAGCATCCTTTAAGTTTTTTTCCCCGTTTATGGAGGGAAATGAAAATCCTGTCTGTTATATTCAGCTGATATCCCACTGGGTCGGTATCACTTAAGATTGATAACAATTTCAAAGCACTTACTGGGGCTATTTGATATCTCATTTGATGCAAGTACGATGTAATTTACCCATGCAATGAATATTGGCTATATTGAATTTAAAAAGCTGATTTATTAAAAGATAATTTACGATCATGTTCTATTTTAAAAAGGGATTTAATACAGTGAATTTTGCTTCGCGAATTGAAACTGTACCATTTATCGTAAAACAATTATGAACTTGATATAACACTTCTGGCTGTTTTATATTACACATTAAAATATTTGATGTATAAAAGATATGTCTGTATTATAATGCTATCCTGAAGGGAGAAAGCCGTAGCATAATAGCTTTTTAAAAATTGGAAGTTTTATTAAAAATATTCTCTTACTGTTTTAATCATAGTACTAGATATTTCAGTCTTCCAGCTGGCTTGTAAATTCACTAACTTGCATGTTGCACTGACAGACATCCATATTAATGTAATAAAAACAAATTTTTATTACAAAAAACCAGTCAGACATTGGTTTTTATGTCCAAACACAATGTTGACTTGTTTGTCTTCTAATGTAGAATCTGAAGGGAAAAAAACGTGAATAAGAAAATTGACTCTGTGAGGAGTCAAGCAAGTATTGAAAGTTGGTTATCCATTAATCTTATCATTCTAAAATTACATCGCTGACAATGGCCAAGAAATGGGATCTGTTTTGGATAGGACATCTATCTGTTGTACGATAGGTAAACATTCTCTAAAGCTCAAATAAAATTATTGTTATATGGTCCAATGATAAAAATCTTTTAAAAAAAATAAATACCAACCTATTATGTATTCATGAAAGACTCTCTAATTTCACATAATGCAAGATATATTGTTAGTGTTAATGTTTTGTATGTACATGTACCGCCCTGATTTGTTCAATTAACTGAAATTTGAAATGCTCTTTGAGGACCTGCCTTCATAGTAATAACATATTGTAAAAACAACTATAATCTGAAATACTCAAAAATTCTGATTAGTTTGACATTTATATGCAATACTCAAAAGATTAGGACTTTAGATGAATGTCAGATCTAATGGATTTTGTAAATGGTTTTTGTGTTATAACTAATAGTTATTAAATTCTTTAACAAAAAAGTTTCACAAACAAGCTGCAGGAACAATTCTGCATCAAAATAAATTTAGTTTAAGGGCCATTCTTACGCTTTTGAAGAAGAGAGGATGCTTTGGAGAAGTTTTATAATTTTCAAAATCTGAATTTTAAAGGCAGAGTATTAAATGTCAATGAAACAGCAACCCAATAATATAAAGCGACTAAAAATTTACTTATAGAGCTTATCATGTATCCTTTAAGAATGAAGGCATACTCACACCCTGTTATACATGCAGATACTTACTCATATTGCTATAATGTTCTTCATTTGTATCCATTTCTCCCTGGTGGTTTCTTCAGACAGTTATCTCCCCTAGTAATGCAATTCTTCTGTTAAGAAAAACAAAAAAGTCATAAGAGTTCTCGAAAGAGCCATGTTTGTTGTGGTTTGATAAATGTTATATTCCTTAAGATCTAGACTCATACTAAAGACTTTGTATGAAATGTACAAGACAGTTACATGAAGACATGCTTAATTTACATCGTTGGTTAATGAAAGCAACACAGAGTGATAAATACATACACAAAGGCAACCCTCCTGGGTTATACTTAAATCTGGTTGGAAAATTATCCCTCTACAAAAAAACATCAATATGTTTATTGAGAAAACAGAAGTGTATGATCTTGGAGAGAACGATTCTGTGATTGATGAATTAGGAGAAAACTCTTATCTCTCTAGTAGGGTATTAGTTTTACTGAGAACGATCCAACTTTTTGATGGTTTCCTTTTGACAACTCCTGGAATATATTGCATTGCATTTTCCAGTCTTTTGATGGTTTCTGATCAGATAATTGATGGAATATGTTCTTGTGGATGCAGTCAATATCCAGCTCTTAATGTCAAATAAAGTCGCCCTAATATTTCCAAACATGTTGTGGTATTATTAATAATGTAAATTCATTGAAGCATGAAATTGTCTCCTCCCTGAGCTCAGATGCTTTATTAATATCATGCTTGGTCTTTTGAGCTCAGGCTGGTAATGAATGTTCTTTTTTAAGGACCAGCAGCACATACATTTAATGATTTGCATGAATTTTATATCCATACTATTACTATAATAAGACGTTAATAGAAATCATAAATTAACTTTGCTTTTAACTCACAGTGCTCTGTTCCAATTTTTTCTCCAATAATTCAGACAACATGAAAAATCCCATTAATGTATTAGAACCAGAATTAGTATTGTGCCACAACACTGAAATATCTATGCTGAGTTGAGCAAAATGCATCAAGTTTGACACACGTTTGTCATTATATCCATCATTCTCCACAAAAGTACATATTTTACACCTTTTTTTTACGGAAGCAGTGGGAGTTTTTTTTTTTTTATTAATCTATCCAAATTTTATAATGAATGTGTATCTTCAATCACTATTTTTAGTCTGTGCAATGATAAATAATATGAAAAATAAAAGGGATAAAAATATATTACCTGTGAAATTGTTCCCTTGTTAAACATTCCATTGTAAATATTGTCTAATGAAGAAGAATTATAACAGTCCTTCACAATTACAATAGAGTAATCACATAACTAAAATCCACTCTCTATTCCCACATGATGGAGGATATTTCAATGTAATTGCATGTTGACAGTAGAAAATTGCTTATGAAAATTTGTTGTCTGTGCCAAGGCAATGTCATTAAGTTTAGAGATTGTTTAGCCTGCTGATCCTCGGTAATATCCTGCGTTACAATGAATTTCTTGTGTTTTTATTAAACGAACAGATTAAGAAAATGGAGACATGACATATCTCAAAGCAGTGCAGTATCTGGTGAACACGGACTATTAACTACCATTTGAAAATTAATACTAAAATGAGTTTGGTGTTGATTATTTGGATAACAGATTGTCTCTCGGTTACAGAAAAAGTCCACCAATATCAAAGCTTTTGAAAAATTTATCATTTAGAGTCGGGTTTAATACCATTGTTTGATATTTCATGTCATATAATTGTCACGTCGTTTTAGATGTCTTGTCAGAATACCCTGTTCAAAAAAGAAAATTAAATCCTGTATGCTTCATTATAAAGTCTTGAAAATATAAATTACAAATCTCTCTTTGATTTTATTGAAAGAAGGATAACAAGTACTATATAGAATTTCATTTCTCTCCGTATTAATGCTAAATTTGGGAAAATGATATCATTTTATACTTCATCATGTACACATTTTTTTTGGAGACGGTGAATATGAAAGGCTCCGATTTCAATAATAAATCAACCAACTTGTTCTCTTTTTGAAATTTTATAATTTAATTTTCCGTGCAAGAGGATCCTTATGTGAAAACTATAATTGAAAAATATGAAATAAGAATACTTACTGGTGTGCTTTTCCTTTTGGTAAATTGGAAATCCTTGTTTAGATATGAGGGCTCCTTGTAACAAGCTGTTGACTGTTTGTTATATGATAATGTAATAAATTGAACACATATTTCCAATTTAAATGGAGAATGCTTGTATTGACCCTAATGATTCGTTTTATCTTTACATTTTCTGATTCACAATTTTGTAAAACTTGGAATACATTATTTCTCCCTCAATGGCAATAAATATCTGAAGTTAAGAAAAATGTATTTTTTCAGAATTGATAAATGATACTGGAATAGATTATAACAAGTTTCAGCTTTAGATTTCAAAGGCTTATAGCCTGTCAACAGTGATTAGTGTTGGATAACCAACAACTGTTGTGTTGAATTGTACAGCAATAATGTGTGAAGTTTGATATATATTCTTCTAGTAATCAAAACTATTTCTAGTACAAAGATGCAACCGGAATGTGTATGGTGAAAAAAGATTTTTACACCATGTGCAACAAAGATGGAGAGCTGGTTTTAAATGTTTCTCACCTGTCAATCAATCTCTCATCACATTGTGTACAGCTTTTAGGTTTTAAACATTGAATTAGATCAATGAACAGAAAAACAGAAATTTGCTAACCAATGTTTTGGAAAAGCTGAAGAGAGGTTCCCCATTGTTATTGATGTTGTAGCATGGGGTATGTGTGAGATTGCTCACTAATATACTTTCATAAAAAATTACAAACCTAAAAAGTTGAAGTTATAGCTTTGCTTTATCAAAATCATTATAGTTTCTGAAGTTTTGATGTTTCTGTCTTTTTCATTTTCTTAAAATATATGAATTTTGCCTTTTGGCATAAAAATGAATATTGGATTTCATTAAAAGAATTTTACCTGTCTCTTGTCTGATCAATCAGTAGTCCTCTGGTGTTGAATAGCCCATGGTACCTTATGATCTCTTTGATGCTGCCTGTGAAATATTTGCCACTGAATGTTAAGCAATGAACAGCTGATAAATCCATCTTTTCTCCATCTTTTTCCTTTGCTCTATGTCTCCTGTTGTTTTATGCAATCTGATCTATCTAGTATTAGCAATTGTGATTCTGAACTAAATAAAGATATCTCCATTTAATTCTGTCTATTGATATAGATATAAGTATATATGACTTGCATGCAGAACACACAGACATGGCAGTTCATATAATTACATGGCATTTCAGGCTGTCATTCTGTCGTTAATGAAGCTGTAATGTAAATTACTCTTGCCTTGCAGGATTGCTTTCCTTGATGAAATTTCTATAATAATACTTAATTACACTCGCAAATCTACCTGTAAGATAAGACTCAGTCAAGACAACATGCTGCATTTTCATCAAATAACTATTACGAAAACAAAAAAAATACTTTTATCAGTTATTAACTTGTTACTTGCAGGAAATGAAAAAGAAGAATGGAAAAACACCTTGGTCGTATTAAATCCCATTATTATAACTTTAATTCCAAATCTATGAAAAATCTGTCAAACAAACACTGTTTATCTTGAAATAGTTGATCTGTAGACAGTGAAAATAGGTTTTGTCACTTCCACTGAGTACTGTGAATAGTTTTGTAATAATGTTAAAAGATCCTGGTATCCCCTACGGAGTAGTGTAATTGGTTTCCGTCTTGTTTCATATAAGGACTAGTGCAAAATGAAATTATTGGGATTTTCTTGTAGATTAAATCATGTCGTTTTGACATGCCGATTTTTTTTTCTCTCTTTTTAAAACCATCTATTTGTTATCGTAAAATTTCAAACCAATTTATTCTAAGCTACTGGATTTGATAATGGGGTTTAAATCCATCAGTTTTAAGAGCTTTTACTGAAGATATAAAATTTCCTTTATTCTTACAATGAAAAGGTTTGTTTGATATCATATTAAGGACATTTTCATATGAGAGTACTTCAGATTATTATATATAATCACAAATTGAAATTCACTCGCATATATGTATACTAAATATAATCCATTACAGTTATTTTAAAGGATTAGAGTTATTTCCCTTTCATTGAAGACCACACATGAGATTCTGTGCAAGATAGTTTTTTTCTGTAGGACATTTCAGTGGCAATATAAATGTGCAATGAATGATTAATTATCAGATAATAATTATATAACTTGCATAATTTGGAATGATTGATATGTTAGGTTACAGGAGCTTCAGGTACAGTAGTGATTTTTATGACAGGGTATTTTTCTATAAACTGTATTTACTGAACTACTTTTGTAACCAATATGAAGATCAAGTGACTTGAATAGACCATGGAAGTAATATTTAAAAGGAATAACAGCGTTGTCACTTCGAAAGGTTTCATCTGCGTTACTGTCCATCTTTCGATAACTCGTTAATTGGTTTAATATCTGGCATGAAAGTTGATTCTCCGCATGTGATCGATCAAATCACTGACACTTTTCGGTCGTTTTCGTGTTCACGGAAAACTACGAACAGACAAGTTTTTGTCGTATATAGGCGCGAAGTAACCCGAATAGTCCATTCGTAACATTCCGTTGATGTACGCTGCCGAATAGAGTCATTCGTTCAATTTTTATTTTAGTCCAATCTTCCTATTTCTGGTTATATATATATAGTTCGATCTTAATAGTACCGACAGCTATCACATATGAAATTGGAGAACAAGGCTGGGTCATTTTCAATTTTAATATTTACAGACAGTTGAAAAGCCATTTCCGTAAGTTAAGAAGATGATTGTACAAAAAATACGTTTGGACCCCCTTTTAATAAATACGAATAATCTAAGTCTTTCGTGTATTAGTCAATTAAAATATTCACAATTCTAAACTGTTCTATCCTTTAATTTATAGTTCTTGATACATAAACTAATTCGTGTAAAAATGAATTTGCCGTAAGACAGATAGCGTCAAGCTCATTTTGTCGGTTTGTTTTAATTTTTGCTGTAGCTTGTTATATTAATACAAGTATTCCACAATAAACATTTTTTTAAAAATATATGTTTACGAACATATCCCTATTTTAGCTGTCCAGTTTCATTAATGTAATCAATGACATTTATGACATATACATAAATTTAGAATACTTCTCGATAAACTTTGCACATTTCAACAGTAAAAAAATCTATGTCTAGATTTGTCTACATTATTTTGTTAAACATCATGTGAAACCTGATCCATTCATCGGTATTTAACTGTTTTACTCGGGATCCGCTTTTAACCGGAAAACACTTTTAGAACAGTTTAAAACAAACGGTAAAAAGCAAAAATATGCTAAATTAAATACAATTTTCCATGCTAAACTGTTGTAGGTTGAACAATTCTCGTCCGTTTTTCAAGTTTTTTACACCATATGACTTCTTTCTGAAGGTAGAGGTTTTATATGATACAGCATCACCTTCTTATTAATAAACCTCGGATTTCACACAGGTGCTTTATAATTACCGGACTCGATAAAATCACGTGACTGATAAGAAATTCCAGATGCCATTTTACAACCGCGGTATCACAGATAGTAACCAAAGGGGTCTTGCCGCTGAGACTATAATTGGATAAAATCATATGAGTTTAGTACAGAGCTCTGCGTGTTGTTAATACATGCTAATTAGTCGTTGTTATTCCTTTTAAATATTACTTCCATGAATAGACATTACAGATACGAAACATGCAAACAATATTTACACATGGGTTTTTGAAAAAAAAAAAAAAAAGGATAAAGAACTATAAAGATTAAGTATTTTCTTCAGAGTTTATTGATGTTGTATTAACTGGACCAATTTACGATCCAATATTTACACACCAGAAAAAAAAGCATTTGATCCTATATGAAAAGTCAGCACATGGCTGATAATTCAACAATTCAATGAAGACCATGAATATTAACAAAAAAATGCTTGTTGTATATACACATTTAATATTTCTTGCTTTTTTTTTAATAGGTCATCCTGGAATGATGGGTCCACGGATGGGACATCCAGGGTCACGGATGCCAGGTCCAATGAATCCTGTAAGTTCTACGAAATTATTATCATTTTGCCTAAAAAGTTAAAACACAGGGAAGTGTAAAAATAAAAATGAACAAAGAACTGAGAAAAGAAGAATATTAATGTTTATGGTTCATTCGATAATCTGTATATAGAAAAAAGGAGATGTGATATGATTGCCAATAAGACAACAGTTCAAATAAAGTAAATGTAAGCAATTATGTATGTCTGCTTTATAGATACTACTTTTAATGCATACCCATACCCTTGGAACAATTTGAAGTATCTTCTCTTGTAATTAATAAGTCATTTTCAGTGAGCATGCTGATAGTGTTGTGGAATCCAGGAACAGAAAAACACAATGGCTTATTTATAAATAGCACCTTCATCTTGATTTGAAACAGGCAATTACATGATAATTCAGTGACAATATTAGATTTACAGTTATGGTTTTATGTTTAAAAAAAAAAAAGACAATTTCGATTTTTTTTTTGTAGTATGATTCAATGCCTAATTATGGAATGAGAGGACCACCACCAAACAGTATGGGACCTGGTCCAGGTCCAGGTGGGATGCCACCAATGTCAATGTAAGTACCTAAGTAGTCCATTCAGATACTTTGGACACACAATTATTCATGGAATACTAATTTTTGCAGATTTCATCGGTCAATGTTGACTACAAATATAATCATTTATTTTTAGACTTTTATGGAAAATTTGTTGAAACCACAACATCAAGTATCAGATTTTCATCGATCCACAAAAGTTGGTTCATTTTGTACACACAAACATAAGTGAACCCAGTTATTAATTAATGTTCAAAATGACATGCTGATTATTTGTATAGTATTCATGAAGATCCAACGGCTTAACTTTGAGACTCTGGTTCTATAAATAACTATAACTATAACCCTATATGAGATTGATGAGCTAGTCAAGATGATGATGATGATGGATGGCTGCTTAATGTCCAGTGGCAAATTAATATGCATATTCAAGATGAGAACATGTTAATGTAATATGAATATTAACTATATATATATATATATATATATATATTAATATTAGCTAGTCAAGAGATCATAATGTGTATAGTAGGAGGTGAAATATAAAGAGGACTTTTTACATTGGCTGACATAACTGATTTTATTCTTTTATACCATCAGTAATAGTAAGAATTGTCTATGTAACAAAGCTTACAAATTTGTCTTGAATAACGTATATTTATGAGGATGTCGGCTGAAAATGATCCAAATGACAGGATAAACCAATTATCTGCCCTTGTTAATGACCAAATAGACTATAGAATAGGGGAGGTAACTCTCATTTCAACAGTAACAAAAGGATAAGACATTTATTGAAGACAATATTTCATTATTATGGCACCTTGTCTTTTTCAGGCCTGGTGGAGCGGGAAATCGGTGGCCACCAACAACATCATCAGTAAGTCAATCACATTGTGTAATGGTTAGGACAGTCAAGTACACACTATATAGGACCAGTTTTATAAAATATTTAACTATATCACTTGAGGGTGGAAATGCTGTGAAATCATGTTAATAGTTCAGTTGTGGAATCTGCTGTAAAATAAATGTATTTTTTTATGGGAGTAAATTTGAAAAAACTTAATCTTGGAACTGATAATTTTTAATCTATATTATTTTTTTGGAAAATGTGAACTAATATAATGTTTTTTTATGAAGCAATTAGGGATAGGAAATGTTTGTTTGATATATCTATTGAAATAAAAAGACCCCAAAACAAGTACCGGTATTATAAAACATCTATACTGCTTTCACGACTACAAGTAATTTATTCATTTTAGAAACATCACTTGAGCACAGAAAAAAAGACTATTGTCGACAACAGTTTGAAATAGATATTGTCCATTTGGTTATACAATATATGCTGCACAAACATGTATATATTTTCAATGACTCCATTAAAATTTATTTTCGTTTTTAGATAAATTACTCATCAGCATCGCCGGGTAGTTATAACGTAAGTATTCCTTTTGATTTTTCCCATGAATATCAGTTTCATGGAGATTTTCACTTTGTATACCTCATAAGACAAATAAGTTTTTTGAAAAGGATGCTTTTTCATCCATGAAGATTAAGCCTTCTCAATTCCAATAATAAATTTAGTGGCTAAAGTTTTAAATTTATTCATGACTGAAAAATGTCATATTTTTTTAGCTTGCCAGTTATTAGAAAATTTGTTTAAGATGATAATGCTTGTATTGCAAAAATGAAAGTGAAATAAAGTTTGGCATATTTGAATTTGTGGACACAGTATTTACGGATAATTTTGTATTTCAGGGCCCAGGAGCACCAGGTACACCTATCATGCCAAGTCCACAGGGTAAGATCATCATAAATGCACCAAACTGCATACTGCTTCTAATGACATTTTATTCTAATGATCAAAGGGAGATAACTCTTGTTTTTTTAAGCTCTGTAGGTTATACAGAGAAGTACAAGTTTGTTATATGATGCAAAGTCATATTTAATATGTGAAGCTGTATATTTCTTGAAAATTAAAGTTAAAACATCACAATCATACTTTTTTCAAGCTCCGTTCAAATCTTAAGGATTGCTAGACTTGTGGTTCCTGAATTTTTAACCATTATTGTCTACTTAATAACTTGAATTGACCTTTTCTCGTAAGGTTTTAAGAATTTCAGATATGTGGATCTAGATATGTAGGACTTTCATCTTTAAAATTTAGCAAGAAATTACCAAGCAGCAGAATGATATACATGTAGATTGGCGCTCCTGTGCAATTATTTATATTATATGTAAAAATTATCCAAGAGTTTCACTGCTTAATTTAGTTTATTATGAAATGTTGATTTTAAATGTTGTTTGAATAATCATTGTCTTGAAAAATGAAATGGTACATATATTTTATTAGGGTCTCAAGGACCATTTTCACCTGCCAGCCACCAGCGTATGGGTTCCAGACCAGGTGATTACTATAACGACAGTATGCAGGGTATTACCATGCTCTCAGATTTTTCTCCCCACCCTGGGGGATACTTAGGGAAATTAACAAAAGCCCATTGACCCCGTATTTTTGTTTTTGAGTGTTCTTATTTTTGTTGTAACTGTTTCACTTTTTAGTTTTTTTCTGTTTTTATCTGTAGAATAGTTTAGTTTACATCTGTTGTTCTTTTTATTTTAGTTTTAATGATTATTATTGACAAAATTCTGATAAGCTTCTAAAAACATAAAACGCACAAATCACATGTTATACTAATAAAAATAATTATTACAGATAAATTTGCACTAATATAAAGTTGAGAAAAGGGGACAATTAAAACTTGACAATCTTGAAAGTTACAAAATGGAAAGATGAAAATCTGGTAGCATGGGACCATATTCTATTAGTGCCATGCTTAGCACACCTAATGAGGAATGCATCTTACGATAAAAGAAATATGGCCAGATCTGTTATATGTAAACATCATTATCAGTTTCGGGGCTACGGTTGCACTTTATCGTATACCTCGTCATCAGAATAACAGTATGTCAAGTAAGATCAGCCTCTGGTTGCTCTTACGAAGTAAGAATTAACAGACACAATACTTTGTACTTATAAAAAAAAACTAATACACATTTGTTTTGCCAGTGACATCTGTATAGAACAAACAATCTTTAAATAAAGTCTTCTTGGATGAAATACTGAACATCGAAATCACAAGATCAGAAACACTGCTGGCAAAACATTCTGTTTGTATTCATGAAGCTAAAATAGCATGAAACTTTTGTTATGTCTAATTATATTAACGTAAGCATGCAGTCTAACCTCAGGAAAACATTAGATGTTTGAGGATTACTTCAGTTATCCGAAGAATGACTGATATTTTAAAATTCTGTTACGCACTTACAATAAAATATAACACAGTTATTAAATGGAATTTAAATTTCTAATTTACACAAGAATAGGTGGGGAAAAAACGGGACATACTTGATCTTTGAAAAATTCAAATCAAGTACAATATATTGTCTTTTGCCCAATGTTCCTTTATTTATTCCCTTATTCTTCATAAGTTAGGTCATGGTATAAGAAGAATACAAATGATTAGAGACTAGACATTTTATAGTTTCGATTTTTCTCTCATCAAAGTATTAGTACCTTCAGAGTATGAAGAAAAGCATTTAATTTTTGTAAAAGAATCAAAGTTAATGTCTCAAACCCTAAATAACAGACAAGCATGAATAATGTTTTTTTGTAATATGCTTGAAAGACAAGAAGTAAGCTGTTAGCTACTGGCTTTTTAATATATACAAAATTGAACTAAGAAAGCTCTGTTAACAATCCCCCGATATTTCAATTAACGTAATATACTTAAACTAGAATTAGTGGATTGCTTTAATTTGTGGTCACCTTTTAAGCTTAAAGACATTGGTTATGAATTCATAATACATGTGAACCTGAGTGCAGCATTAAACTTCTTTCATTCAATCAGTTAATAATAATGTAATGGAATATAAAAGCAAGAACATGCTACAAAATCTGACTGTACGAGACCATCATGGGTAGTCAAGGTTTTAAGCACTCCTGTAGTAGAAGTACTAGTAAATGCTGTTAAAAAATTTAAATGTAGAAGAGCCGCCATTTTAAAATGATCAATATTAAAATTTTGTGATGACAACAATAAAAGAAGATGGCCATGCCAGATTAAAAATAAATTAAAAATGTTGGTAGCTCTTATATTCCAACAATATAAAGGTAACAGTGTTATATAATTATGAAATACTAACACATGTTTTGGGGCACCTTCCACTGGTTTGGAACACTTGTTCTCTTTTTCATTCTATGTTCACTGTAGACTATCTTCTGTTCTGATGTTATTGTGTATTGTTTTCTGGTTATGAAGCAAAGCTGTTCTTGCTCTAGATTGACAGATTTTCTGAACTTCAAATTTGTAGCTCTCATCATTTCAATCTCAAAACAAACAAATGATTTAGTATCAAAGAAAATTGAGATTTATATACATGTAGTTTATCTTTTTTTGTCAACTATCAATTTGGAAACTTGGTTAAAAAGTATATTTCAAAATAATCTTGAATGGATGAATATTGGAGAAATTAAAGAATGCTTCTTTTTTCTACAAAAATGCTGTGCTGTGATTGGTCACTATAAATATAAATTTTCATTCCTCTTTTCTTATGCTCAGATGATGTTGAACCCCAAAAGATGCTCTGTTTAGGTAAGGCTGTCACTCAACACTTTGGTGCTATGTTGTCTTTTGGGTTTGGAGTCAGACTTTACTTGGCATGGCATGAATAAAAACCACAATACCCTACTTGCATGTCTACTGAAATTAGCATTATAATGGGAATTGTGTAAATAATGTAACTTCAAAGGGATAAAAAAGTAGAAACCAAATTAAATGTGCTTTGTATTTTATTGTTGTAAAAGTAAATAAGTCAGAAGGAAGTAAAATGAAACATAAAAGAAAGGAAAAAATATGTAGCAAGTAAACTAATAATATATGCTTATACCTTGTGCATGCACTATTAATGCTTGGTTGTTATGCAAACATGGATAGTATTTAATTCCTTCTTCCAATATGCTTTGTAAAAATTGAATATTTTATATTGTATATAACTAATTTGTGTTTCATTCAACAAGTTATGAGGCTTCAGGGCACAAAAACCATGTTTTGCACAAATTATTCCTACGGTCATTTAAACTGATGCCTATATTTAATTTATATATTTAAAAAAAAAATATTAAGAGACATATGAGATGAGAATTGGAAATGTTTCTGTTAGCTGTAGTCTGTGTGATCTAGGAATGTGGTGAATAGGGCAAATAGTAGTATGATATTTATTTAATAAATCCATAATTTTATTTGTTTATTTCTCTCTTTTTTTCACATATGTAATAGATGATAAAACAATTTTGCTATCTTCTTTATATATTTATTTGATTTTCTATTAATAATCACAGAAATATGACCTCATGTGATTCTTTATTACATGATTTTTAAAAGATAAACAAGACCTGTATTGATGTTTGGTGTTGTTGTATTCAATAAATAAAAATTGTTATACTGAATAATTAATGTTGTGTGTTGGAGTTTGAATTGTTTTAAATGAAAATGTATTTATTATTGTAAGAGAGATAACTCAAGTTATTTGAATTTGAACATGCTGTTATGATCACTGGGATAACTTTCTGTCAGTAGTCCTCTTTTTAAAATTCTTTGTTAAAAATACAGTTAATGGAAGTACTAAATTACACTTAAATAGATTAGAATTAGTTCTCTTTCGTTTCATATTTTTCTTTTATTAACTTTTGTTGGTTTTTTTGGAACTTCAGAAAATTGTTTGAATCAAAGATGAAGAAAGTTTAGACTATTTTATGTTAAATTTTGAAAAGTAAATTGTGAAATTTTTTTTTTTTATGTCAGTACAAATCTGTACAATTAACTCAGTATTTCCCTGTTACATGATAAAACTGAATCAGCTTCAGATATACTAGAATGAATTGAGTAATGTTATATATGTCTTCATTATATATTTTAAGCAGACCAAATTTTAGATTTTAATTGCTAAAGATGTAGAAATCAATACCAATTATACAAAATCCTATTATGCTTACCCTTATCTTAAAGAAAGTAATAAGACGTAAAATAAGAGAATTATTTTTCTTTTATTTCAGACTCTACAAATTCAGGTGATGGAATGTATGGTATGATGAAAGGAGGTATGCCAGGCATGCCAGGGGTAAGATTTCATTTCTTTCATCTGTTAGGTTACCCTATAGACTTGGATGTAGCTGAATGCCCTTCTTATCAGATATTTTGTTGAATAGATGAATTTATACCCAGAAACTCAACCTTTTGTCTGTACTGGTAAATTTATACTTCAGCTCTGATGCTAAGAAAACATAGCAAGGCCCGGTTGATTTTTGTTTGTTTTAGGTTTTTAGGATTTTTTTAATGAAAAAAAATAAGACCATGCTATTAAATCTATGAAATCATAAATTGATGATTTGTATATAAAAAAATAATTGAAATATTTTTGGATATAAACAGGTAATCTTCAATCATAAATCAACAGTCACAGTAATTATTTTCAAAAAGTAAAAAAAGGGACCTCAAGAGTGCACCCCCCTGAAATCATAAATTATTTACTAAGTGATACTATTTTGGAGCCAGTAAACAATTCCTCAATCAAATTAACAACTCCCTAATAAAATAAATTAACAAATCCTCAGTAAAAGGTGAAAGTATGCTAAGGCCACCTTACGCTACTGGCTTGATATCTTTATCTTCTGGGGTTTATCACTTCCATTGATATTTATAGCAAAATAGTGCACTGAAGTTAACATTCCTATCCAGTTAATGTCATGCAATTTATTAATGATATGTTAATATCAGATATTTTAATTACAATATGATGTGAATTTGATTAACCTTACTTGTCAAGAAAACTTCTGTTGTGCACATGAATCTGAGCTTAACTACAAATGTACAATCATGAACAAAGGAAGATAACTCAAATTCAAATTTATGATTTGCCTTGCTAAATACAATTCAATGTTTTATTTTAAATTCTTATTGCAAAATAAAAGCAATCTTTACCTCACAGTGCTTACAAGCACTTTGATTTGGCTCCTTGAATTTGATGGTCATTTTAGGCCAAATAAGTAAATTTGACATTTTTAGGACATCATAGTGACATCACAAGTGGCCTTTCTGTGCTTTAGTATCCAGATTATATTAACCTGTTCATTTAAAAAATTTGCATCATCATGAACGGTTTGAATAAGTTTACTATTTTTGCAATTACAGGGGCCAAATAATGGCTCTTATCACACCTCATTTATTTTAATGATTGGTCTCAACAAATCCAATGAAACCCTTCTCTAGATCAATATTTTTTTTGTTTTCAGCATTTTCCAGGGATGGGACCAGGAGGACCCGATGGTAGTTTAGTGATGGGTCCAGAAATGAATGTTATGAATGGTAAGTGTGACAGATATACCGGTAATAGTCATCCCAATGAAAAACCTTAACCAAGTTACTTGAGCAAGATAATTAACAGCCTAAGGACCATTATCAGAAAGGTTAAATTGACTTTCCTAGGCACTTTGGTGTTTGTAAGGACCATTATCAGAAAGGTTAAATTGACTTTCCTAGGCACTTTGGTGTTTCTAAGGACCATTATCAGAAAGGTTAAATTGACTTTCCTAGGCACTTTGGTGTTTGTAAGGACCATTATCAGAAAGGTTAAATTGACTTTCCTAGGCACTTTGGTGTTTGTAAGGGCCATTATCAGAAAGGTTAAATTGACTTTCCTAGGCACTTTGGTGTTTGTTTTTCATTATATTAAATGCATTGTTTGAGGATGTACACAACTACTAAAGATATTTTTTATGATCTCAAAATATTGATTTTAAAAGAAATGTAACAACCTCAAAGTGAGCAAGTATATTCATCTTAGTTTTAAAAACATTTTGATCTAAATGCAAATGTTAATACACATGAAATAATGGTAAATGTTTCAAAATATTGGCATGGGAGGCACTTTTTTGGACCCAAGCCACCCATAATATAAAATGTACATTTTATTCTTTATTCTAACATAATTCTAAGAAAAATTCAACCTCCCACAATCAATTAATTTCATTAACTCCCATCCTCCACCACAATCAATGTTGGAAAAGCCTTTAGTAAGACATGGGGCTTTTTTTAACAGCTACAAAAAAAAACGAATTAGCATAAGAATTTGTTTGAAATAATGTTTGTTTCTTCAAGTTTAATTTTATTGAAGTTTAATTGCAAGTTGGATGTATGTTTTCTTCCCTTGTAGGTGATATAGATGGAATGAAAAATTCTCCAGTAAATGGTCCAGGAACGCCGCGGGATGATTTACCTCCTGTAAGTGGGACGGGCGATATGGGTGCATATAATCTAGCATACCAAGATAATGTAAGTCAGATCAGTTTGTGAAAAAAAGATCTGAATTGACAAGATGCTCAAAGAAAACCATGATGTGGGACATAATTCCAATGTTTTGTCACATGATTGTCATGTGATTTGTATCAACCATTCATTCAATACCTTCTCTTGTTTTTATCAAACTTTTAGTTCGGACAATCTACAGTTTACTTGTGCATCTGTAGGTGTTTTCAATAGATGGAAAATATCAAAGCATTTTAAATAGTAGTAGTTCATTTTGTATTTATATAGTCAGGAACCGGTTCTTAAGCAATAATTGAGAGGGAATTGCCAGGTTTATGGACAAGCACAGATACATCATCAAAGATTGTAGAATTATCATGTACATTTTACAGATCTGATGAAATCACCTACAGTTGCATATAAATTCATTTAATGAATGAAATCAACCATATTTGCAGGTATGGCTTGATTCCCAGTAGGCGCAGTTCAATCAACATTGCTCAGAAGGCACTTATCTCGTTTTAAAAATAGATCTGATGAAAGAATTTCTTTCTTTTGTACTAATCTGATTGTAAATTGATGATATTGTTTTATTTATTGTATGTTACTGTATATACGGTGTTTTGTCTGTGTGTATGACTCTTTAACCATCACAACACATGCTTCATTTTCACCAACGGCTACCTAATCTCTTTGCATGCCAGATCTCAAATAGCTTCTTTCTGTCATAACTTGCTTGTCATTTTCAGTTTGTTTTCCTCTTTTTATATTTTTGACTCATTTAGTTTCTTTATTTACTTATATTGCTTAATCTGAATAAAGACAGAATATAATCAAACAATCTTGATGGATAAAGTTCGGTGTGGATCCAAGACGACATAGAGGACTAACATGGAGTGAAGTGGATTAGAGGGAGTTTTTGTAGATGAAGTTTTGGATCCACACCTATAACATGAAATTGTTGCCCAATGTTTTCTAGTATGGTCGTCAGTTCTTGGAATGCTGATCAAATCACACATGTTTACATCACCAAAAGAGCATGTCTGCACATAAGAGAAAGTCAATTAGAAACAGAAAGGTGCTGGTTTCTCTCAAGTCAGTCGTGCAAGCATGTCAATTGAAGCACCAACTAATATACATCTCTCATCCTAATCCAAAGTCATCTGAAAATTCTCACTTTCAAATCATCCAGTATACTGTCTTTCTTCTGGTATATTTTATAGCATGACTTAACGTCTGTAGAAATCATTTGTTGTCAGCATGCCAAAGTAAGACAGGTGATAATTTTTAAACTTTCACATACCTGTCAAAAAAGAAACTTAAAATTGTTCAAAAATTAGTTATCAGTAGGGGAGTACTGTTTTTATCAAAATTTGCACATTTGGTCACAGTTTATTGATGGGTGCACTCGATTCAACCTGCTATAAGGTGCATTTGACAGGTGTGTGGGACCTCAACTGATAGATCTGTTGTACCTTTGCAGGAACACAATGAATCTGCTGCAATCCTAAAGATAAAAGAATCTATGCAGGAAGAGGCAAAACGATTTGAAAAAGACGATCACCCAGAATATAACTTTATGGCACCATGATAAAAAAATCTCGCGTAGAATTGTTAACAATAGTCATGTAAATTATAATTGTTATTTATAATTTTTTTTGTACACATATGACATTTTATCAGTCGCGTTAAGCATGCATTTCTTTCTCGTAATGTATGTGTTTGGGTAGGGGGGAAATATGATATCTCTATGGTGCTGTTCCATTTATCATTTGCTACATAATTGGATGGTTTTACTAAAGATGGGAGCCTAGTACACATCATTCCAGTACGAACAAAAAAGTCATGTTTAGAATCAAATAAGTCAAAATTAACACCTGTTCTTGTGTTTTTGGAAATTTTTTATTTGAACCATTTTATTTTCTAGTCGTTAGCGCCTGATTGTCGTGCCTAACCATGAACGCTTTTGTTTAAGTGCTATTCTCCTTGTTTTTATTCACTTTATATTAAATCATATTTTTTCAGAACTGCCAAATTTCATTGGTGTATGGTTTGTAGGGTGCTTTTGTTTGAATTTCTTGGTGCAAGAAAAAAAATGCATTTTATAACTCATAAAACTACTCATTTTACGAATTATTTCGCTCCTTATCTTGGTCAAATCTTGCATTGTAAGCAAAGGGTAAAAGGTTTCAAAGGTTTTAAAGTGGACAAGATTGAATTTGTCAGGTTATTTTATAAGGGAACATCAGGATTGTTTGAACAAGGAATAGTCTTTTAAGCCAAAGCTGCCTTTATGTTATATCATTTTAGCTTGTAGAAGCTAATTATGTCTTTTGCTTTAGTATTAACATGATTTAACAGAATTTTATACTCATTTTCTTCCTTTTTTGTTAATCTGCATGACCATTTTGATGATGAAGCCCTTCATTTCATGGGCTTTGTGTAAAAATGATGGACATGTGAAAAATTGGGTATGATGCAAAAAAAAAATAATCATTATTTCCAGCTGATTATTTGAAGTTTGGAAAGTGTGAATGTTTTGAAATTCATGATGTCAAGACATAGACCACAGATAATTATTGCTATTGTTAAAACATATTTCTAACTACTATATGATAGTCTTTCCACTTTTTACAGCTTTCCTATTTACTAATATGCCATTTGATGGCCATCTTCACACTTGGCTTTTGGCTTTAGAGATTATTCTTAGGTTTGCACATCCTAAAAATGGTATAAACCAGGCAAAGAGTACAATCCTGATACAAGTTCTTAACAGGGAATAGTGACTTACAGTAGAATTTTTTTTTTAAAACACAAAAGATTTTTAAAGTCAATTTACAAGTGCACTCTTTACAAGTCAAATAAGAAAAATAAATTATTTGAAGTTGAAAGGGGTTCAACATAGGAAGGGCATACTACTTTACAAAAAATATTTGGTTTTTAACATCTGACTTGTACGATATTTTCCTGGTTTATCCCGATCTGCACTTTAAGTAGACTGATTATAAGATTATATTGTGTTGTACTTTATCCATGGTGTTGTTTCCTCCCAACGGAACCAAAGAATGTAAAGAAAGATAATCATGGCCATCTTTATGGGTGTTAATACTGTCAAGGTAAGTCTAAATTCTCTTTTTTTTCTGATGCAATTGAGAATTAGGTAAAAACAAAAATTACCTTGATATTTGACTAATGTTTCAGATAAAATTTGTCAAATGTTATTGTAAAGTTTGCTAAAACAATCATGTATTTTTGATAATTTTTACCGACTGATTGTTTAGAAAATTGTACTTTATGGCCACAAAATTTGCTCTGATAGGAAACCACCATGGATAAAAGTAATTAAACAGAAAGATAATATTTTGTACTTAATCTTATTTACTGTAAGGAATTTGTGAAAGATTCAAGATATTTATTTCTTGTGCAGCCTTCTTTGCAAAGACCTCTCAGTCTTGTACACATTTTCTTTTGAGTGCAAATTATTTTTCAGATTGTTGCTGGGCTATTTTAACTTAATAATTTTGATATGTAAGTTGAAAGCTGTTGATGTCCATCTTGAGAGCTGTGGAGGTTCAATTTGATAGTTGTTGAGGTCAAAGTAGACAGCCGATGAAAGCTGTTGATGTCAAAGTTACTCGGACAGAACGTTAGATTAAGGCTCTTCACCTGAATCAGCTGACTAAATTTTATTTCAACAGCTTTTTAAATAGTCCATGTAACAATCAAAAATAGATTTGACCTCTCATGAAACTAATTAAATACTGATATACATATTTTTGTAGTTGTCGCAATTGACCAAACTGCTTTCTTACTAATGATGTTAAATATTTAACTTGGATTACTTACTTCTTTATAGTCTATACTTCTTATTCCAAACCACAGCTCTTGAATTTTACTGAGTATCTGTGGGTTTAACATTGTAGCGAATTTTTGTTAAAGATCTGTGGTTGTGACTTAAATGTGGGGAAATCATAAATATGTCATTTATCTGAACTGGTACAATTGTTTATATGAAATCATTAAATTTCCAAAATGTGTTGTAATTTGAATAATGGTATCTCATTTTGGCATAATAGTTGTTTTTTTCTGTTATTTTTATTTCAAAACCAAAGACTTTACTTCTTTACCTTAAGCTGTGCTAGTTTAGGAATCTCAACGATGATGCTTTTATTTCTTTAAAGCCTTTAATTTTTTTTAAATAATATAAATCCTTAATTTACTTTTAGGGCACCCAATCAACTTCTGTATTTGATATTCACTTGTTTATAATTCACCTTATCATTTTAATGTGACCTAAAGACAATTTATAAGTTGTACTGATCTTGGTTGCAGTTTTCTTTTGTTTAGGTTGTAAGGAATTTTCATATTTACATTTATGTATTGAACATGTTACTCTATGGATCATGTGACTGTCATCACATGTGATCTCCCATGTGACATTGGTCAGATGACTTAACTTGTGTGTCAGATAACCATTGTACGATTGTATGAATAAAATTTCATATTGAGTGTATTTATATTTGTACCATGAAAATCATTCATCAGATAGGAAGAAAGTTGTTGTGATTTAGGGAATAAAAGATGAGAGAATGAAATTGCATCGTGTTTATTTATAGTAAAAGTCTCATGTAGTTACATTTGCAATACTTGTACATTCATGTGAAGTTAAATGTTCTGAATTTTTAAATTTTTATAAACAACATATGTACAAATGACATTTGTGTTACCATAGTAACTGTAGATTTGGTGTCATATTTGATTATGGAAAAAAACCATGTAGACATTACATTTTTGTTGTCCATTTAGTAGCAGTAGTGCTGTTTAAAAACTGTGAAGACAGTCATCCCTGATATTTTTACAAGTGTCATATAGGCTTTGGGAATTGAAAACAGCACAATTTGAAAATAGCAAATAATCCAGTTGAACTGCCAATTTATTAAATTTTTATTTATGGGAGTTTAATCTTTTCAACATATCAGAAAATTGATTTTACTTCAGATAAACTATTATTATAATTTGGATGAATTTTAAATTAATCTGTGGAACAGAATTTTTTATGATTAATATTTGATGAAGATTTGTGATGTTTATATTTGTTAAGTTATAATATAGCCTTTACATTGCCCACAAATTTTGAAAACAAAATGTTAATTTAACAAGCATTTATTGTGTTTCTAGAAGGTTGGAGAAATGAGTTATTGCCAGTTCATGTTATTATTATTCAAAAATTTGTGTAATTATAAATCTAGAAAATGTCATTATTTCTTTTTTTCTAGATTTTCATCCCTGTTTATTCGATAAAATGCCACAAACAACCATTTTTCTTACTTTAAATTTGACATTTAAAAAAAAAGTTAAATTTTCATTTTAAACCAGAAAACAGTTCACCTCTATATATAGGTAAATATAATTTATAATTCAAAAACTTTTCCAACGCTTCATTTTGTAATGGTTTTATTAAAATCTAGGCCTCAAATTTCATACCCAATATAATGCCATAAGAAGACTACCTCATATTGAGGGTTTTTCAGTAGTAAAACCTTCAATTTTAAATATTCTGTCAAATTCCACATACAGTGAAATCCACTGCACCATAGTTTACGCAAAGTCTCTGAAGAGTTGTCTCCCATTCTTATTTATTTTTAGGTCATAGAAATGTGATGATTGTTTACATTTATCATAGGTTAATGTTGATACTATTGCAGCTATTAAAATTATGCATTTTGTCATAAGAATCATAATTCATGTCAGACAGTTAGAATAGTTAAATGACCAAATTCGCATCATTAAATTTTAAGTTGTGACCAACGCCATTTGTTTGTATGAAATCATTTTTTTATATAAAAAAAAAACAAAACATACAAAGCATATCAAATGCAATTCTGTCAACACTAACGGATGATAAATGATTTTGTTTATATATATATATTTGTTGAACAAAACTTGTATTTATTACTCATTGTTTATAGATCTGCAATGCTTTGTAAATTGCCGTATACATATTTTTATGAACGTCATTGATGTAAAGGGAGATAAATCATTGTTTTTCTTTTGTTTATTTTTCGAAGCCCTCATCATCATCATCATCATCATCATATCTTTTTTTTTCTTTATGTTTACAAACCACAAACACATTTCACAATCAAAAGACAATTTGGCAATATTGTAATATAAAAATCATTTTACACAGGAGCGTCTGTGTTGTAATGTTGTGTATTGTGTCAACTGTAGTGATGAGGGCTCTATATATATATATGATGTTAATAAAATATCAGAGAGACCATGCAATTATGTCTTCTTATTTTTTAATTGGCTGCGTCACTTGTACAAAGAAGACAAGAAATAGATATTACTTAGCAGTAGGAATGGAAGTACTGGAAAGATGTACAAATGATAATATGTTGGACTCAAGTTTGGTGAATTGATGACAAATTGTATTTCTGCCTACACTTCATTTTTGCAGTTTTGCCAAATTTTTGCATACAAGCCTATGATAATTTCATACTTCATTGAACATTTATATTCACAATTTGTCTATACCCATGAAATCAACACAATATTTGTATACAACAAACGTTAATAATGAATCCACAGTATTCTATATTTTTTCCAATGATCCTTAATTTTATGCTTCAGTAACATGTGTAAAATCTGAGTCGTTATTGGTCATTTTGGAACATCAGATAGAACTGAAAAGCTCTGAAAGATGATTGTTCATATTTTATCTTAGGAGAGTGCTTCTGAGATGTGCCTATTCTCCTTTAGTTTAATGCTTCAGTGTCATTTGTTAAATCTGTGTTGTACTTGTCATTTAATCTCGTGAGCACATGGTAGTTTGATGACATGCATATGGTGTCAATAAATCAATCCTTGGTTGGGTCAAACCCAAAACCTGAAAATTGGTATTTGCTTCTCCACCAGCCACATAGGATTAAGGAGTAAGAGCAGGCTAGTCTGCTAGAGTACGAATAAAGTTTTCAGGTAGAATATTGTTTATTGATTGATTTGTGTTTAACACCACTTTCAACACTCTTGTACTATTTCATGGCGGTCAGTTTTTATTGGTGGAGGAAGCCAGAGTGCCCGGAGAGAAACACCGACCTTTGGTAGGAAAACTGACAATCCTATAAAATTAAGATTGGAGTCTTGCACCTACCCCATGCAGGATTAGAACTCACAACCTCAGTGTTGACTGGCTAGTGATACAGTAGTTGGACTGCTTAGACCACTCGGCCACCGAGACCCCTATTGCTTCTTGAGGAATGTTACATTGTGAGTTAAAATGATAATAATCTAACTCAATGATGAAGTCCAGTACAAAGCAGGATACATTACTTTTTCCCATTCAGAATGTGTATGCAATATTTGTTGTTAAACAGACATCAATCTATCAACAAACAAAAAATATGACTACCTAGCCTTTTACTAGTCATAAAAATGTTTAGTACAATTCATACTTCTTACTAGGACATAGATATCAACCAAAGTACTGAATTTGGTGTTCTGAGCACAAATTTTGTTCTTTGAGCAGAGTAAAGTTTGATGACGGAGAATTTGATGTTTACTCCTGCCTTTTGAAAAGTAAAAAGTAAATTTCAGATTAGAATTATAGAAACTATTTGATATTGATACTAAACACTTGTAAATAGATGACCATTTAATAATTTACTGCTTGTTTATTGCTGAATGCTGTTATACATTTAACCATGCTTATTCAGGACAAAAACAAATTAATAAATCAGCATTTCTGGTGGCAATTCACCTGTTCCTTTCCACTTGTTGCTGGAGTAAGTTCGATAAGGCCCTAAAGTAGCCCCCATTTCTAGCTACAATTTAGAATAAGGATTTAATGACCAATATCACAATGAATCATAGCTAATAAAATGACTGGATAGGAAATAAGTCTTTTTGATGAAAATTTACGTACTTGCGTATTATTTATGGCGTTACAAATAGCATTCATTTTGATTTTCCACGACAACTTCAACGAAAACTGGTCAAAATAGAGTGCATGTGTCAACAGAAAAGATCTTTTCACATAATGTCTGCTGACATTTTACAGATCTAACTAAAATATTTTGTTCGTCGACGCCTGGGCTGTGTTTCCTAGGCCTTAATATGGTTGAAATCTAGACATTTTTTCAAATTTTGCAAAAATCTCTATTTTTGGTCTATTTTGGATGTTAAAATCAATGCTTTTAAATAAAACTCGTACATAAAGAGTTCTATTCAACTTTTCTATTCATCACTTTAAAAACATTTTTCTTCTTGGAATATTGAACTTATTAATTGGGGTAGAATATGGCCTTTACAGAACTTACTCCTTTCAACTGATAGTAATCAATGCTTACCCTTCAATAGCACTTTGAATTTTACTCCAAATTTAATGAAATTGATTTGGGTTTTAAGCTACTGGGTCATTAGTTTTGATATTTTATGGGTTGTCTTGCCTCTTGGGGATCAAAATTACTATCAGTGTGATCAAATTATTGTAGTAGGTCAATGGCTGGTTACTTATGTTTAAAACACTTCTCCACCTGTGTTTTGGGAGTACACACAACATACAGTAATGTAGCAACACCCATGAGTTCAAACAGTCTATGAATCTACCATCTTTTTTATACGACCGCAAAAAATTTTTTGTGGTCGTATATTGGTATGACGTCGTCGTCGTCGTCGTCGTCTGGCGTCGTCCGGCGTCGTTCGAAGACACATTGGTTTTCGCACTCTAACTTTAGTTTAAGTGAATGGATCTCTATGAAATTTTACCACAAGGTTCAATACCACAAAAGGAAGGTTGGGATTGATTTTGGGGGTTATGGTACCAACAGTAAAGGAATTAGGGGCCAAAAAGGGGCAAAAAATAAGCATTTTTGTAACTTCCAGACATAACTTGTGTGTTAGTGTATGGATCTCTCTGACATTGTACCACAAGGTTCCATATCACAAAAGGAATGCTGGGATTGATTTTGGGGGTAATTGCCTCAAAATTTTAGGAATTAGGGGCCAAAAAAGGGGCAAAAAACAAGCATTTTTCTAGTTTCATGACAATAACTTGTGTGTAAGTGTATGGATCTTTCTGAAATTGTACTACAAGGTTCCATATCACAAAGAATAGCTGGAATTGAGTTTTGGGGTAATTGCCGAAACGTTTAGGAATTGGGGGCCAAAAAGGGGCCAAAAATAAGCATTTTTCTAGTTTCCAGACAATAACTTGTGTTCAAGTTTATGGATCTCTCTGAAATTGTACTGCAAGGTACCATACCACAAAGGGAAGGCTGGGATTGATGATGGGGGTAATTGCCTCAATATTTTAGGAATTAGGGGCCAAAAAGGGGCAAAAAACAAGCATTTTTCTAGTTTCAGGACAATAACTTGTGTGTAAGTGTATGGATCTTTCTGAAATTGTACTACAAGGTTCCATATCACAAAGGGAAAGCTGGGTTTGAGTTTGGGGGTAATTGCCCTAAACGTTTAGGAATTTGGGGCCAAAAAGGGGCCAAAAAACACATTTTTCTAGTTTCCAGACAATAACTTGTGTTCAAGTTTATGGATCTCTCTGAAATTGTACTGCAAGGTACCATACCACAAAGGGAAGGCTGGGATTGAGTTTGGGGGTGATGAATCATAAGGGGGTTTAAAAAATTGGGGGGGGGGATTTTTTTTTTTTTCCTTTTTTTTCTTTTTTTCCTTTTTTTTTCTTTTAAAATTTTCCATTTTAAGTTGGTTATTTCTGATTTATATTTAAAAGCAAATAATAATGATATGGTAGGAGATACACACCAAACAGGATGTGTAAATTATTATATAATAAGTATTGTGCAATAGCAAGAAATTTTCAATTGCACAGTATTGCACAATAGCAAGAAATCTTCAATTGCACAGTATTGCGCAATAGCAAGAAATCTTCAATTGCACAGTATTGCGCAGTAGCAAGAAAAATCCAATAGCACAATATTGGGCAATAGCAAGAAATTGTCAATTGTACAGTATTGCGCAATAGCAAGAAATATTTAATTGCACAGTATTGTGCAAAAGAAGATACTTCGTATAAATTGCTTATTTCTTGACCAATTTCAATGGGGTTTTATTCTTGAATTCTTGGGGTTCTTTAATATGCTGAAACTAACTGTGTATTTAGATTCTTAATTTTTGGTTCCGTTTTCAAATTGGTCTACATTAAGGTCCAAAGGGTCCAAAATTAAACTTAGTTTGATTTTAACAAAAATTGAATTCTTAGGGTTCTTTGATATGCTGAATCTAAACATGTATTTAGATTTTTGATTATGGGCCCAGTTTTCAAGTTGGTCCAAATCGGGGTCCAAAATTAAACTTTCTTTGATTTCAACAAAAATTGAATATATGGGGTTCTTTGATATGCTGAATCTAACCATGTATTTAGATTTTTGATTTTTGGGCCCGTTATCAACTTTGTCCACATTGAGGTCAAAAGGGTCCAAAATTAAACTTTGTTTGATTTCATCAAAAATTGAATTCTTGGGGTTCTTTGATATGCTGAATCTAACCATGTATTTAGATTTTGGATATTGGACCATAATAGGTGAATGTCCAATTTAAAATTTTTAAGTTCTTAGACCACATTCATTCTGTGTCAGAAACCTATGCTGTGTCAAATATTTAATCACAATCCAAATGCAAAGCTGTATCAAGCTTGAATGTTGTGTCCATACTTGCCCCAACTGTTCAGGGTTCGACCTCTGCTGTCGTATCAAGCTGCTCTCTGCAGAGCATTTTATAATGTAATGTTGTACAGAGTTTGAAAATATGTAAAGTCCATCTAATGTACAATATATTCAAAGGGCATAATACCAATTTCTATGAAGTCTGTGTTCTTTAATGTTTATGATGGAAGATTCCCAAGAAAGTGTTCTTCTTTAATGTTTATGATGGAAGATATCCAAGAAAGTGTTCTTCTTTAATGTTTATGATGGAAGATATCCAAGAAAGTGTTCTTCTTTAATGTTTATGATGGAAGATATCCAAGAAAGTGTTCTTCTTTAATGTTTATGATGGAAGATATCCAAGAAAGTGGTCCAAAGTCTATTTTGATTTTAACCAGGGCGAAAATAAAATAGCTAGTCATAGTAGATACAATGATGCTCTCTCCAATGCATCATAAACTTGAGAATTCTTTCAGAAATCATAAAGGCAACTACAAATATGAGAATGGAATTGAAATTTGGCAGTCAAAATTAAAAATATCACAAATCTATAAAATTAAATGGAACAATTTGGGGATGGACAAAGGGAATTAATTCAATTCACAATATTGACTAAATAAATATGTGTTCTTGCTTAAAACAACACAATATGTTTAAATTTTAAATTAAGTTCACAATACACATTGAAATAAATATATACCCACCTGGGCTCACAAGCACTTCAATTTATTTTGGCAATGGTAATGCAGTGGGTATCTCTTTACCCTGGTATTGTTTTTCCTTATTTTGAAGTAAAACTCTTACTCATGGCAGTTAATTTTATTGAAACCAACTGTCAAAGATATTTTTACAGAACTGGTCTAGAAGTTTGTTTGTATATCCTCACATTTATGTACCTTAATGCAGATATATAGTGATTCTTACAGCTGGCAAAGAATATCTCTAAACCAATTTTTATACGACCGCAAAAAAATTTTGCGGTCGTATATTGGTATGACGTTGGCGTCGTCCAGCGTTGTCATCCGAAGACAAATTGGTTTTCACACTCTAACTTTAGTTTAAGTGAATGGATCTCTATGAAATTTCACCATAAGGTTCAATACCACAAAAGGAAGGCTGGGATTGATTTTGGGGGTTATGGTACCAACAGTTAAGGAATTAGGGGCCAAAAATAAGCATTTCTGTAACTTCCAGACATAACTTGTGTGTTAGTGTATGGATCTCTCTGACATTGTACCACAAGGTTCCATATCACAAAGGGAATGCTGGGATTGATTTTGGGGGTAATTGCCTCAAAATTTTAGGAGTTAGGGGAAAAAAACAAGCATTTTTCTAGTTTCATAACAATAACTTGTGTGTAAGTGTATGGATCTTTCTGAAATTGTACTACAAGGTTTCATATCACAAAGGGAAAGCTGGAATTGAGTTTGGGAGTAATTGCCCAAAACGTTTAGGAATAAGGGGCCAAAAATAAGCATTTTCTAGTTTCCAGACAATAACATGTGTTCAAGTGTATGGATCTCTCTGAAATTGTACTGCAAGGTAACATACCACAAAGGGAAGGCTAGGATGGATGATGGGGGTAATTGCCTCAAAATTTTAGGAATTAGGGGCCAAAAAGGGAAAAAAAACAAGCATTTTTCTAGTTTCAGGACAATAACTTGTGCGTAAGTGTATGAATCTTTATGAAATTGTTCTACAAGGTTTCATATCACAAAGGGAAAGCTGGGTTTTGAGTTTGGGGATAACTGCCCTAAACGTTTAGGAATTTGGGGCCAAAAGGGGGCAAAAAAACAAGCATTTTTCTAGTTTTCAGACAATAACTTGTGTTCAAGTGTATGGATATCTCTGAAATTGTACTGCAAGGTACCATACCACAAAGGGAAGGCTGGGATTGAGTTTGGGGGTGATGAATCATAAGGGGGTTCAAAAAATTTGGGGGGAGGGATTTTTTTTTTCCTTTTTTACATTTTTTTTTCTTTAAAATTTTCCAATTTAAATTGGTTATTTCTGATTTATATATAAAAGCAAATAATAATTATATGGTTTGAATAGGTAAATTAAAAATTTATAAGTTCTTAGACCACATTCATTCTGTGTCTGAAACCTATGCTGTGTCAAATATATAATCACAATCCAAATTCAGTGTGTATCAAGCTTGAATGTTGTGTCCATACTTGCCCCAACTGTTCAGGGTTCGACCTCTGCTGTCGTATCAAGCTGCACCCAGCGGACATTTTATTATGTTGCTGACTTGAACCTGACTTTCTGATGAAGAACAGCAATAAAAGTGCTGTCTTTTCTCAGGGTTTTAATTGCTTGTAGGGATTTTGTGGAATTATACACCAAATCCGTTTCTTCTCTATTTCATCAAGAATAGACATAGTCTCCCATGTTATAAACTGGCAGGAGAATTAGACATTACAAGATTTTTCTAATTGTCAACAATTTTAAAATGGCCTTAAAAATTTGCACAGAAAATTACAATGTATAAAAAATGTTAGAAAAACAAATATATATGCAAACTTTAATCACTGTAACAAATGCAAATAGAATATATTGTGTATACAAAATTCATCAATTATTTCTTTCTAAACAAAACATAAAAAAAAATGTTCATAATATAAACATTTACATGTGTATGGCACTTTTTCAAATAAATGATAGAACAAAATTTTATATTAATTTAAGCTTTCATGGTGCACAATAAGACTGAAATTTTACATTGTTTAAAAATAAGATGTGGTATGATTACCAATGAGACAACAATCCACCCGAGACCACAGGATGAGGATGTAAACTATAGGTCACTGCCAATAATATTGTTTTATTAGGAATCACTGTTGAGGTCCTATTTCCAATTAATTTTAATTTGTGGGATACCAATTTTCAGTGATTTTGTGGATACAGGCAGGCTGAACTACAAATTTAAATGTTTAACGAAGTACAAATGTTGTATAGGTTTGAATGCAGACTTCTGTAAAACTATGAAATCAAATATCACGAAATACATTTTTCCTTAACCCAAGAAAATTGGTACCCACGAAAATAACTGAATCCACAGTAGTTAATACCTCATTTTTCATTGAAAATTTCAATCATTATATAGAATGATTTTAATGAATCTTATAGTGCCTTATATTCCAGTCATAAGAAATGCTTTAAAACTGAAACTGTACGAAGATGATGAAAAAAATGTCATTTCCTCTAGAGTTCACCAGAAAAGCTTCTATCATAATGCCATGTTTACTAGCAGCACACACCAGATTAATTAATAAATAAAATAATTTCACTTTTTAGAATTTTTTTGGGAGGTAAGGTTAACTGTTTGGTAGTAAAACCCTCCTTGGCCTTGGCTCTGGAACTGGGTAGGCACATGCTCACATTAATCTGCCAATACAGTGTGTTAAATATTCCTTCTTTAGACCTTATCTCATGGTTGTGTTCCTTGTGAAAAGAGGAAAATATAAAGCATACATTCTCATTACAGGCCATTTTGAACTTGCAGCTAGGTGTGAACATACTCGTCCTTTGGTCTCTGGAGGATAGTGGTCTAATTAAAAATTAAACCACATCTTATCTTTATTTACATACAAACAAAGCAATTATCATTTCTTGGGAATTGCATTGCTGAATTCTCAAGAATACATTCAAATACATATACACATTACAATAACTGACATATTCACTAATCAAAGAATCTTTGGTTTTGGCCAGGTAGATAACTTTTACACACATTAGTTCAATTCAGAGTGAGAAAGACGAACTGGATCTGACTGCAAATTATCCAAATTTTGACTTTAAAGAAAAGCCATTACTGTAAATAAAATAATAGTCACCAGCTTCTATAGCTCAGATTTAGGTTGTGTTTTTTTCTTTCAATTCAAGAATGATTTTCTCATCTTTAAACTTTATAAAAAGGTCAAATTTGAAATCATAAGCTCTCAAAATATGAGTAGTGACCATAACTTACACAATTTAATGATGAATTAGCGTACATTTGTGTTAATAAAAGAACAGAGTTCCAATTTCCCCTGTGTTGCACATATTTTATCTGTTCTGTCCAAGGACAATGACTTAAAAAAATCCAAGGACAATAACTAAAAAAAAACATTTTTTAAAACTTTTTAGAATATTTTTAATATTTCCAAGGGAAACTCATTAAAAATATTTGATGGGGACTTATTATTATCGAAATTGTGCGATGACATTGCTGTTATATACCTTTGATATGAATTTAATAAAAATCTGGCAAAAAATGTACATGCGAGAGCACTTACAATGCAAATTTTTTTTTTCCATATATTTTATATTTCTAAGGGGCATAACTCTTTTATAGATAGTTGATCAGCACTTATTTTCGAAAATGTCCGAGACATTGCTGTTATATACCTTTGAAACGAATCTGATAAAAATCTGGGACAATTTAAGGAAAATAGATATAGATCTATGAGACAGCAACCCTAGGACACAAATAACAAAAAAACATCAAGAACTATCTTTCAAAATATTTCAGAAGAAATAAATGGGGAATGTGTCCATGGGACACACATGATGCCACCACTTGCATACAACGTTATAAAGGGACATAACTCAAGAACGGTAAAAGTGACGCTACCCAAATTTCGTATATGATCCGAGTTTTGTGGTAATAAGCATTGTGTATAAGTTTCATAACATTTGATTGATGCAAACTAAAGTTAGAGAATGGAAATGAAAATTTCAGCAATTTTTCCATTTGTAAAGGGCATAACTCTAGGCCAGTAATAGGGATGCCACCAAAATTCAAACTTGATCTTTGTTTTGTGGTAATAAGCATTGTGTATAAGTTTCATAACATTTGGTTGAGGCAATCTAATGTTAGAGAACGGAAACCAATTTCGTGACGTACAGACGGACAAGGGTAAAACTTAATGCCCCCTCCGCTATGGCGGGGGCATAAAAATAACCAGTATATATTAATTATACCCCTTACATAAAAAATAACAGAGATTTATCAACAAATATAAAAAGTAATGTACAACTTGTTTCATGCAGATCCCTGCATGACATTTTACACATACACAATACTGTGTTTCACAAATTATTTTTTGTATCAGTCTGAGGATAAGGTTAAAGAAAATTTTCTGTTAAGGGCTAATGCTGGGCTAATATGGCTAATGTAAAAATCTTTTCATTGTATATTTTAAAACAAGTTATAGCTATTCCAATCCAAAGCCATTTTTCCATGAAAAGTAAGTCAACCAAAATGAAACACAACCTCTATCTGTAACTCACTGTTATATATAAAATTATAAACTAAATATCAACTCAATATCTGCAGGCATAACGAAAACAGTCTGTATAACTGTTGGATTTCAGAATTTGTATTTGTAGTCATAACATTCTTGTACTTAGCACTATAGCATTATAATCATAAAATGTTGACATTAAGTAGTAATGAATCACAAATATCTTGTCTGATTCACAGTACACTGTTTATTGTGGGTTTTGGATTTATTATCAGGCATGGAATATATTTTCACATTAAGAATGCCTGCCAACAACATTGTTGCTTTAAAAATATCATATTCAGAAAATTGTTATATTTTTTCTATTGAATCAATCCATCTGTATATAATATACAATTGCATTAAGATGTTCCAATAGTAAAGCAGCAAAGTTGTCTCCCCTACTAATCATCATTAAAATTATTAGAAAAAAAGTAGAACACTTGAATACTAGAGTGAATCAATATCTCGAACACACTATAAATTATCACACATAACACATTTTTTCCATTTGATATCTACATGAAAATTTATCTCATTAAAATACAGATCATGTTCCAAGCTTCTCTTACAAGGATCTGAACACACTCCATTCTAGTTTTTGTTTTAAGACCTTTTGGAATCCTCTGGTTTTGTTGCAATGACATACACCCTCAAAATTTGTAGGCAGGAATTTCATTGGCTGATGGAATAATTACCAGAACAGAATGTTGAAGGGAGTGTTATCAGATCATTGTAAATAAAGCGTTGACTCAGGATCTGTATTTAAATCAGATCACATGAAAATGAGACATTTTAGATGAGATGATAAATCATCACAACAATCACGAATTAGGACCAATATTATCTACTGGTGTTGTACCAATTGGCTGCATCACTTTTGTCACTGATTCCTGCCTAACCACAACATCCTCAGAAACAGAAAAAGAATCGTCAGAACATGGAATAGGAGATTTTATCTCAAACTCTTCTGAAGATTCGAAACTAATGTCACTTCTGTTAAAGGTAATAGCTGACTGGGATGAAGGAAGAGTGGGAGGAGCAACATTAGTTGTCATGGCAGCAGCCGTATACTCTATTGATCTTGTTTGTATTTCTCCCATTCGTTTTAATTCGTCTGCCATGCGGGTTTCTGAGGTTTCTATACTGCCTACTAAAGCTTCCAGCTAAAATAACAATCAAAAAAATTAATTAGTTTGAGCAAGGTAAAAAAAGTTGAACTGTGAGCTATTGCACACTTATGATATCCATGCTATTAGCATACAAAAAACAGGAAGTTGATGTTATGTGCCTGCCCCAAGTCAGGAGCCTGTTTTTCAGTAGTTATTGTTGTTTCATGTGGGTTATATTTGTTCTTTTGTAATTAGTTTTGTTAAAAATTAGGCCATTTTTCACATTTGAATCATTTCACATTTTTCATAACGGGGCCTTTTATTACGGCCTATACGGTATAATTTTTTCTCATTGTTAAAAGCCATATGGTGACCTATAATTACTTATAGCCACTTCATTTCAACTCTGGATAGTTGTCTCATTAGCAATCATACCAAATCTCCTTATTTTGATATTTGTTACTATTCAAGATGTAAATACTGACATTATATCATTTCTCATGACTTGTAGCTGTTAACATCCACATCTATGATATGACATATCCTATATCTTATATGTAAAATCAACATCTAATTGAAAAAACAAACTGAAGGCAGACAAATGAAGGCATGACAAGCTATATTTTCTCCCCAACTTTGTTGAATGCAATTCATAATTGTTATTTATATTTAATGATCTGACCTGTTTTTTCACATCCTCTATTGCCTGAGTATTATCTGTTGCTGATCCTGCTAACTTGACTACAGGACTTGGTTCAATGGACACGAAAAATGGTAGTCTGATACTATATCCAAACCACATAAACAAAAACAAGAAAAAGAACATCGAAAGTGTTACTATAGCAACTGGATATAAAGTTACTGGTAAGTCAATTAATAATGCTCTCATGAATTCACTGAATGCTGTCCCAACATCCTTCAAGGGAGATAAGAAAAATCGGACAAATGTCACTGCTATTGCCTGAAATTGAAAAAATTAAATAAATACATGTGTATATGTATATATATATTACTACAACATATTCGAGCATTTTACTTACATGCATGATTTCTAATACTTGCATATTTCAAGAGAAAAATTGTTACACTAAAAGATCAACTGTACATGAAAGTGTAGTTGTTCAAGGAATACTAGTTTTCATGGACTTAGTTGAAGATAATATATTGACATCAAAGGTCTTTTGGATTTATCATCATTTGAGTTGGTGTCTCAATGACATATACCCTACACATCATTCTGTTCATGCAAATTTGAATACACAACAAAATTCCAATTTTCAATTAATTTTTTTTAAATATGTAAAAGTCAGAAAAGTTTCATTAAAACCACAACAATACTTACATAGTCAATTTATTCACATATTTTTTGTATAGATTTGGGAGAATTCAGAGCTTGACTCATTATATAGACATGTTGACATCTAGATGTTTACTAGTTTTTGGTGTTGTTGGGTTGCTGTCTCATTGATGTATACCACAAATCTTTCATTCATACTAAGCAACTTTTCAATATGGTATTCACCATATGAAAGAATTGGAAGGCACCTAATAATAAATATAGGGTAGATGAGTTCCAAACAAATTTTCACGCACAATAATGCATTAAATTTCTGAATAAAATTGTACAGGAAGTGGTTTTGAGAAAAAAGGGCAATTCAAACTCCCCTTACATTTAATTTTTGAATAACCCTAATCATAAAAATCCTAAATTTAATCCAATGCTATGTGGATCATATGTTAATCTTTTAACCAAACCCTGACCTTTGTTGGGGTAACTTTAAGCAAAGGATCAATCAACATGTGTTCATAGTACTTCTGACAGTTGTCTTCCTGGAACGTAAATATATGTTTGAAGGCATGTGTATAGAATGTCAGCCAGTCGTCTTTGTCCATATCCTGAACACATTCCTTTGGAGCCTCTTTCATTGTCACCGTCTGCTGGCTTATCTGAGCTGTCTGAATAAAAACAATAAAGTCATACTAGTTTTATTTGCTACTTTCTTAATACAAAATTTTAGAAGAAAAATTGACACATTTGTAATAAAATTTATGAAGGCCTTTTCAATAAAATCATTAAATGTAACATGATTTGATAAAATTTTTGAATAATGTGACTTGAGATGTTTGACCATGAAACAGGTAAAATTTCGAGTATAGGTCAATCTCAGATCTAATAGCTAATTTTACTAACTTGTGTTCAGAGATAAAACTTAAAATATTTAAATGTATTGTAAATTTCAATATTTTAGCTTAGAAATGGTAAGCAATTTGTCCTGCTTGGGCCTTGGCCTAATATTTAAGAAACATAGTTGATCAGAGTTAACCAGTTTCATGGTGCACATATGAGATGTCCCTCATTATTTAATTCAAAATCCTGATTGGCAAGTATCAATAAACTTTGTTACAATCGTAAATATGGCATAATGCTAAAAGTTTTTGGTAAGTATGTTATTGTTTTTTCATAAATTGAAATGCTTTTGGTCATAATCACGATTATGATGACAACTGCAAGCAATTGTCGTCATTTTTCACAGTTAAGTTGATAACCAATAGGTCCAACCAAGTTTATGACTTTTTCTTTTCTTAGACAAAAGAGAAGAGGAATTTTAAGATGTCAAAAATCTAAATTTTCTAAAAAAAAAAAAAAGAACTGTTGTTACAGTTGCTCTGAGAAATGTTTCCAGCTACTTTAAAAACAAACAAATGCACTTTATTAATGAGAGAAATGTCTAAATATAGATATAACCAATCAAACTATAGTTTACCTGATAAAGTTCATACCAAGTCATTGGTATACTTATAACAAAGGCTAACATTATTAATTGTGTTATTCTTCTCCTCCATGAAATATGTAATCCAATCTCCATGTACAGTACCATAGATATTAAACTCATTATAGTTACCATCTGAAATGTTCATAAATTAAAAATATAATACAGGAAAAATAAATGCATGGACTTATCAATGATAGTCAAATTAGTGTAATTATAATCAAATTAGTAATATGAACAAAGGAAGATTGGATAAAAGTAAATTAGACAGCAAGTCAACAACACAATAAAACCAAAAAGTCAATTTAAGGTCAACATACAGTTCTAAATGATACAAAACATACTTTGTGTCCAGATATAAATTATTCAAAGCCTAAATAAATTGTGGATGAATTCACCAGAGACTACCAAGATCTTACATCAACAAATCAACACCAAATTAGTATCTGGGATATACATTTTTTAATTACACTTTGCTAAAAACAAGACAGAAATCCTCAAAGTGCTATATTCTACCAGTTTCTATGTCTTGCATAAATAAATCTTATATTCCCAGGTTACTATTCAAGGTGTGTTACAGTATATACCCAGCCTGACACATGAATAACATACAATGTAAAATAACATTTATTGATCATATTCATATTTATTCATACTGGTAACTGCATATGTAAATTGAAGTATTTTTTTCAAAGACTTCATCAAAATATTACAAGGCATGTATAATACATGAAAGGGAACAAACAAGTCCTCAGTTTCATATTTTGTTATAATCTATTGGTAATGAATATTAGTCTATTAGTCAATTGACTTTATGAATACATCAAAATGCTCTCTTTTATTTATTCTACCTTTAAGATATTATCAAGTGAAGCTCCTGTCTTTTCTTCAAACCACATGGACAATTTGGCCGTAGTTCCAACATTAGACCTTGTTACATCAGTAATCATACTGACTAAGATTTCTTGAGCATCATGAATATTTGACTTGCCATCGGCAAACTTTTGTAGAACGGCATACTGATCCTTGGATAATTTTACCCATACATGATATTCTTGTGTAGTATCTGGAGCCTGTAAAATGATAGGTTGCTGTCATTAATGGTTACTAAAACCAACCATTTCATGGTTTTTAATCACACATTAATGCCACTAAGACATAGTAAAATATAATAAGGCATGCGTTATATAACGTGCAAGTCCACATTATTAGATACAACTTTTCCATCCTAACATGACTTTAATATGGTAACCATGTACTATGCAAAATCAATTTATCAATATCCAGAAATATAGTTATACATGGTTGATAAAAGTTATTCATGACAAACAAATTCAAGTACATTTATTATATATAAATATAAAATTCGTAAGGGTTCCGCGGAACCCAGTGTCTCGCCTACTTTTTCTGTTAATCGCAGGCTCAACAAAAATGATGAAGTAAATCAATAAAAATATTCCTCTTGATACTATCTTTTGATTGTAAGAAGCTTCTGTCCAAGTTTGGTAAAAATCCAGGATAGTTTATGAATCTAATAAATGTTTAAAAACTTTAACTGCAGACTGAATGTAATGTTAACTGGAAGAAAAAAAAAAATTCCTTTTAGATACTAGCATTTGACCATAAACAAGCTTCTGTCCAAGTTTGGTACAAATCCAAAATAGTATAAGAAAGTTATTAAAATTTTAAAAACTTTAACCACAGAGTGAATGTGTTGTTTCCTGGCAGAAAATCTAAGTCCATTTAAAAGTAAAATACTGAAAAAATGGATTTATTTTTTTACAAAATTTCCTTCTAGATACTAGCTTTTGATCATAAACAAGCTTCTGTCCAAGTTTGGTACAAATCCAAAATAGTATAAGAAAGTTATTAAAATTTTAAAAACTTTAACCACAGAGTGAATGTGTTGTTTCCTGGCAGAAAATCTAAGTCCATTTAAAAGTAAAATAAGGAAAAAACGGATTTTCTTTTTTTACAAAATTTACTTCTGGATACTATCTTATGATCATAAACAAGCTTCTGTCCAAGTTTGGTAGAAACCCAGGATAGTTTAAGAAAGTTATTAAAATTTTAAAAACTTTAACCACAGAGTGAATGTAATATTTCCCGGCAGAAAAACTAAGTCCATTTATAAGTAAAATACGGAAAAAATGGAATTTTATTTTTACAAAATTTACTTCTGGATACTATCTTATGATCATAAACAAGCTTCTGTCCAAGTTTGGTAGAAATCCAGGATAGTTTAAGAAAGTTATTAAAATTTCAAAAACTTTAACCACAGAGTGAATATTTGTGGACGCCGCCGCTGACGGAATGTAGGATCGCTATGTCTCGCTTTTTCTACTAAAGTCGAAGGCTCGACAAAAAAGATGTGGTTTGATTGTCAATGAGACAACTTTCCAACACAGACCAAATGACCTTAATATATGAATGACACACCTTGTTTGCAATTTAGTAGAGCTTAAATCTCTAGTCTTTTTCTTTCTTACCATTCTTACCTTTGACTGAAAATATGAAATCAACTTTTTAACATATTTTCTGAACAAGAGAGAACCAGAATTTCTGTCTGGTGGTTTCTCATCTTCCCGCTTTTGGTTTGTAACTGGTGGTGACTGTGTTGTAGATACTGGAGGGATGCTGTGGGCTAATTTATCTGACGCGACTTTTTCATCCTTTGTGACTTTTTCGTCCTTCATGACTTTTTCATCCTTTGTGACCTTTCCATCCTTTGTGATTTCATTTTCTTGGTTTTTCTCTTCCTTGGCTTTTTTTCCCTTAAATCAGTAAATTTGGACTATTGATTTAAAATAATGCTTTTTAAATTGGGTTTTTCTTTGATATTTAGTTATTTTTGAGTATATTTTTTTTCTCTCAATCCAACATGAATGACAGTAACACTTATGAAATTTGTGTGTTCAAGGTCATTTTCTGGATATAAATATTTGTGTACTTGAGGTGCTATAGGACCAAAAGGGATATAAACATAGCTAATATCTCTCCATTTTGTAAATAGGTAAATAATGTTAAGTATTATCTACAAGTATTCAAAATAGCAGCTTTTTAATTTAAAAATATATCTTTAAGAACTCTGGAAAATTCAAATTCCATAATTTCAAACTTTATACTGTCCCTTCGGTTTTATTCAACTGAATCAGCATTAAAATATCATCCTTCCATCTAACCTTCATAAAATTAATAATAGGTTAATCTATACTTTAGTTTATGTAAAATATTGCAAATGATAAGCTTATTTGTTTTTCTCGGTAACAGCATCATCCAAAAAGTTAAATATATATATCAGCATCTTTGTTTACCACTTCTTGCAGACTTATGACTTCTGAAGGATGTTATTTCAAATCTTTGATTTGCAAATTCAAGTGGCCAAAAGTGGCCTCATCATACCTTATCCTTTTTAAATCTTTATTACATGTGTGTTTAATTAGGGCACTATTTCTATAGGTGCTTAAAAAACAAAAAACACAATAATGACAAAAATATTATTATCTATGATACCTTATTCTTCATAGTCTTTGTGACAGGATCAAAATTAACCATGTCAAAGGGATCAATGTAATCTTCATCGTGAGCTGTATCTCCATAACAACAGGTCAGGCTAAGAACCACCAAAACAACCAAGCAATATAAAAACTTCATGATTGGCTAAAAAAGATGTTAAAATCAATAATTGATGAGAGGATTAAAATTGTTCATTTGTTACATATTATACAAAGTAATGTGTCGCAGTGGAAACAACAAAGTACTGTTTATTTTGGTGGATACCAATGTTTGTGGATTAAGGAAAAATTATATTTTCGTCTATATTTGATTTCATGGTTTTACCAAAGTCTACTTACAAGCCTATAGACAATTTTTACTTATTTGAACATTAAATTTGTGGCTAACCTATACCCACAATATCCACATAAATTGGTATCCCAAGAACAATCATGAATCCACAGATGTATAACCAAAGAACCGGAAATTTTGTCACACATTTTCGCTCATTTTGATGTGACTTAAAAGATAGGGCCCTTTTTTCAAACTGTCGAAATTATTCACACTAGATAATAGATTCATAGCATCAACGAACTTGTATTGACTGTTTCATTGCATTTACTTCATGAATTTTCTTACTGTTTTTCTAAAAATGTTCAAGAACAGTTTATGGAATGCAACAGTTTAAAATTAAAATGATTTTATTGACTCAAAATGGTCAATTTCTCAAGACATCTTTAACATTTCTTTTGATTTTTAAGATGAAATTAAAACCAGAAGTTTCATGACAGTTCTATTACTAGTGTGGGTGTCTTACAGAGCAAAAAAAAAATTTCATACTTTACAAGTGTCTATTTAATAGGTAAGTATGAATTTTGGGAGACAGCGTAAAAATAAATTAAGAAAATTTCATCTATTATGCATACATATTATTTGTCTTAAAACTTGCATGGGGTGGTCATTTAATAATAAATCACTTATTTGGCACAAGTTTTGATGTCAATAATCAAAAATCTAAGTACTGAAGTACTGAACATCGGATGACCGCAAGTTCTTGTGGATGATCAAAAGCACTTGTCACAGAAAAAAATCACATCTCTATACCTGAAACTGAGGTTAATGTACAGAGATATATTTTTTTCTGAGACAAGTTCGTGCGTGGATGATAAATAAATGACATGAAATTCAACCTCACCGTAATAACTATTATATTGTAGTGATACAAATCAGTATACACTGGTTTGTTGTTATATATTATATTAATATAACAGTTACATGTATATATAATTTTCATCCATTTGTATATCATTCTATTCTACTATTCTAATAATAGTGCAGTGCAAGTGCATGGTGGACACTCTTCTGTAAAAATTTGATTTTTCTAAAAGATTGGATATGAATAGGCATTCATATTTTCCTGCAAAAACAATTAGAGTTACCGGTCCTTGCCGGGATTGTTGCAAAATGTTCTTGAGATATTCTTCCGCATGCTTTAACACAATTTTTCGGTACACGTGAATAGATATTATCAATGATTTTTTACATATATATATATATATCTAACGACAAAACATTTTCATATTTTTAATTTATGTTCTAAACAAAAATATTTTTATCAGTATTCATTGAAGAGATGTATTTATAACAAACGATAAGGAATGTTAGTTTGCACTCGTTAATATCCACGTATTTATCATGTTTATAGATTGGTTACAAACCCAAAATGAAAGTTACGTAATGGAAATCTAGGCGATAGCAATACATCAGAATGCCCTCACTGTCATCGCGATGTAATGATGCAAACTAAGTATACCCCTGCACAATGATATATGTGATGAACATTTTATATATGTTTACAACAAACAGGAAGTAGAACATCTAAGGATCTTTAAACATGTCACATGATACGGGCTGGCATAACAAGATGAAGCTTGGATCATATTTCAAGAAGCTTGGACTTCTGATAAAAATTGAGAAAACATGTGTAAGGAAACAAAGACAGACAGGCAGTAGGAAACCTGTATACCCCTTCCTTTGGAGTCAGGGTGTAAGCAATGATTTACTAGTCGACAAAAAGACCTTTCTTTGCCATAAGTCATAATGTTGGTTTTTTCGAATGAATTGTTTCACATTTTGTCATGTCGGGGCCTTTCATAGCAAACTATACGGTATGAGTTTTTCTCATTGATGAAGGTTATATGGTGACCTATTGTTGCATAAATCAACTTCATTTGAACTCTGATGAATAGTTGCCTCATTCACATTTATTATATCACATCTCTTTATTTTATACTGATAATCAAACAATCAAGAACTACATGTAAAAGATTATCTATTTACTATGGCAGTGAACTCTTATATACTATGCAATCAATGTAGAAATTATTATTACAGGGTTTTCTCCAGTTTGTTTCTTCGTAAATTAAAATTGCATCAAACTGAAAGCATGAACAAGATTGAACATGCTGAAATATCTGGCATTCATTATTTAATGATTACAACTGAAATTAATGTTGCAAAGTCTATGAGATAATCCTTACTAAAGGTTAAACAAAAAGTAAGAATTATCATTAATCTATGAAAATTAAGTCGAAGTCAGATAACATGTCAGATGGACAATTACATATTACAATGACTTTATACAACAAATATAGATTACCTATACTGAATTTCTGGTATTAACAAACAGGGACCCTCACTTGAATGCTGGACTAGTGAGGAATATTGTTAACAGCACAAGTGCAATTTTTTGTTGAATACAAAAAAAAAACAAAAAAAAAAACAACTTTCCTAATACTATCCAAGATTGATTGATTGATTGTTTGCTTAAGATCCAGTGGCTTGTAGGTTACAATAAACCATTTGATTTTATGGGTGCAGCCATTTTATGAAGATAACATGGTATTCAGAATTAAGAGTATGGCTAATCCTGATTGGTCGATATGGGCGCCCGTTATTTTTTATTATTAGAGACTTCGTGCACTCTGCATTATAACAAAGGCCAAATAAATTATTTTCCTTAGCCCTAACGGAACAGAGATGTCTTTTCAACGCTAGGACGAGACACGTGTTTTTAAGTGCAAAATTGATAGGCATGGGAGATAAGTACAAATTACATTAAGAAAAGCAACAGGAACCTATATTTTTTGGACCAAAAAATACTGTCCGAATAATTTTTCTTTAATTCTAGCAAGGTTTCGTTAAAAAAAATCAACTTTCTAAAGTCTGTATCTCGAAAAAGGCTATCATTGTCGCCTATGGGTAAATTAATTGTTTATTACAATCTGTAAGGGACGCCTGGAAATAGGATCATTATTTCAATCAGATTATGCAAAGTGGGTTGTCCAGAAGGATTATTTTTTTTTTCAATTTTGAAGAACTTTTTTTAATACAGCATCACTGATGAGCAGATGAGTCTTTTGATGATGAAACAGCGTCTGGTGTACAAAATTCAAGCCTCACGACACCTATGATGAGTTTATTTACATTCATTGGTTCAATGCCACTGCAGGTGGAGATTTCCTCATCTAAGGGTATCACAAGCCCATTAGTCAGCACTTCTGTAGTGACATCAATTATGATTGATATGGTCATACTTATACATCTTTTTTTTCAAAATACAAAGGACTTCTACCCAAGGAATAGATAACCTTAGCTGTATTTGGCATAGCCTTTCCGAATTTTGGGTCTTCAATGCTCTTCAACTTCATACTTTATTTGGCCTTTTGAATTTTTTGATTTGAGGGTCACAGATAAGTCCTTTGAAGAGGAAATGCGCGTCTAGCATACAAAATTTTAAGCCTGGTGTCTATGATGAGTTTATTTATTTCGCACTGGCTACGATTACCCTTAAAAAGTAACATTAAGAAATAATTATTGTTACCTCCTAGACTAATGGTTGAAATGTATTTCCGAACAGGGGCTCGATTTCATACTGAAATTGCAGGTAATAATAATATAATTTTTTTTTGTTGCTTGGAGTTATTGCTACCTGCAAAATCTCACATTTGCAAATTATGTCGTTTTTGTGTGTAGCATTGGGATACTTTGTACTGTCATCGTGTCATTGACACTAATAGGTTGTTTTGTATATGTGAACAAAATATGAATGCATGAATCCTTGAATTTTTACTAGATAACATTTTTGTTCGCTTTGGAGATTCTGTATATCGTCAGGTTATCGGAATTCCAATGGGGACTAACTGTGCACCACTTATTGCGGACCCTTTTTTTGTATTGCTATGAGTTACAATTTATGACAAAAATCAGCAAAGACCCATCGAAACAACATCTGATAAACAAATTTAATAATACTTTTAGATATTTGGATGATATTTTGGCTCTTAATAATGACGACTTCAGTATGTATACTAAAGAAATTTATCCTGTTGAACTTACTTTAAATAAAGCTAATACTAACAATGACCACTGCCCTTTCCTCGATCTTGATATCTATATTATTAACGGAAAGCTTAATACTAAAATATATGATAAAAGAGATGATTTTTCATTTCCTATTGTTAATTATCCATTTTCAGATGGTGACGTTCCCTTGTCACCATCTTACGGTGTTTATATATCTCAACTTGTACGATTCGCTCGTGTATGTAACAATGTTTTAGATTTTAACGAGAGAAATTTATGTATTACTGAAAAATTATTACACCAGGGTTTTCGATATCACAAACTAGTCAAAACATTTACTAAATTTTATCATCGGTATAAGGACATCATTCGTAAATATAGCTCAACATGCAGACTTCTTACACGTTCAGGTATTTCACATCCAATTTTTTATGGAAATATTCTTTATAAAGCACAAAAATGTCAGTATTCACCTCTGAAGCTAACAAAACCTTTAAATAGACTTATTAAGAAGGGATATAGTTACGATACTGTTGTCAGGTCATTAAAGATTGCATATTTTGGCGTTAATATTGATTCACTTATAGGGTCTTTGCATCGGCACTAAACACATTTATTTAATCAAAGCGCGAAAGCGCTGTAAAGGCAGTTAATTACAGGTTGTGTGTATTTTTAGTCCAGTTATATCATTATCTTGCATAGTACAGTGTACTTATCAGAGGTGTCTTTCAGTATTTAAGATTTAGAGTTCTCTAATGATATTGAACAAGTTTTATGAATGTCATATTCTGAGCACTATA